AGGCTTTGAGACGCTTCAACTTGCAATTGCAGTGTTTCCCATCTATTCGTTTCAGATCAATCACAATGCACATGGACACTTGTATTTCAATGTCATCAAATCTGACTTATGTGCGAGCAGCCAGCGTGACGCTTGTTTGACGTGGTGGTGCAGCGTGCCATGATGACCCATGCTTCGCAGCAGAAGTCACGAAGTCACGAATGAATCACGAATATGAATGTCGACGCCGAAAAGGCGGGCCACCTCAAAGAGTCACGCGTCTTATAGTCAGTCCCATGCAGCAGCAGGCGGCGGTGCGTGGCTGCGCCTGTGACGGCTCTGCGCATGCTGCTGCTGATGATGATGGCCCTCGCGTCGAAGGACACGTATGCAATTCACTCAGACTGACTTGTATGGGCAGATTGACGATTAGCGTGAAATTCGTGATGTTCGCAGCGATGACATCTCCATTTCGCAAAGCGCCTTGACCACGATTACAACAGACCTTAGATCGCTCGCTCCCTCTGCCCTCCTTCACTCGACCCCATCTCCCAACGTGGGCCCCTGCTGATCCCTCGACGTTGCTCAAGTCGACACGACACCCGTCTGCGAAGCGTGGGCTGGGTCGAATTTGTTGCCACGGGGGCTTGGGCTTGACTCTCGCTCCTAGTCTTTACTTTTGCTAGCTGCAGCAGCTCGACCGTGAGGCTGCTTGCGCCAACTACACTGCCAACAGCACACTTGCGAATCCTGTCTGGCAGCCTTTTCAAGTCTTCCGCTACCCCCTTCCTGATTCCGCGCACCACTGCGATTTCGTAGGATTCGAGTCCAACAAGACGACGCAGCAGCAACATCATCCCACTTGCACACCCATCATGTCTAGCAGCATGAACACGACGCTCAACAGGCTCAACAGCGTCACTGCTTATGCCACAACTGTCCTCTTGGCAGTGCTGAGCATTGTGGCTTACTCGGCCTACCCTCTGAATCCCAAGCCGGATCCGAATGCCTTCTTGAAGGTGGACCAATTGGAGGTGTGAGTGGGGGTTGTGCGGGCCTGACAGAAGATGGCTTGAGAGACAGCTGTGAAGCGATGCAAGTGGGAAGGGACATGACAGCTCGTTGTGCTCACTGCCTCATTCCTGATCGTACGCTTGCAGCGTGAGAGCAAGAGCGACATGGCATTCGGATCGCAGGCTGCAAGATTATCTAAAGGTGCAATTCTCAGCCGAGCTAGATCTGCGTCCTCTCTTCACTTGGAACACAAAGCAGATCTTCTTGAGCTTATCCGCCCACTACGCTTCTCGCGCAAGCGAGGACAATAGGATCGTCATTTGGGACAGGATCATCAGGAGAAAAGAGGACAGCAGGATCTTTATCGAAGATGCTGTCAATCGATACGCTTTCAGAGAAGTCAGCACCAGCTTTGCGTGAGTTCGGCATCGGTGCAGTATGCAAAAGTCACTGTGCCAACGCTCTCTATGCCTCTCCACCTGCAGCAATGTCAATTCTACGTACTTTACGCTGCACTGGAACGTCATGCCCTACGTCGGTGTTCTCGCATACGGAGACGAGCTTTCGACAGCACAGCTACCCGTGCCCAAGCGCATCGAGGGCGATTCGAAGAATGAGGAGAGGGTGTGGTACTGAAGGGAGAAGCAGACAGGGCAGAAATCACATCGAGTCATGCCTGGCGTGGGCCACGCGAGCGCAGGTGTGAACAAGCAGTCACGAGTACTTGAGGCAGGAGCCTGAGCAAGATCGATGGTCACAAAGTCAAGTCGTAGTCACATTAATGCGAATCTCATCGCCAATCATTACATTCACCTCGCTGTGGCGTGTCGTCGTTCACTTTGAGCGATGCGCATGCATCCCAGAAAAGGAGATGCACGGCAGCAAGCCTCACTCTGATGGGTTTCGGGAGAAGATGTTGGCATTGCAGCTCGCACACGTGCTACCTGCCCTTGGCCACCTCTTCAGGAGTTTTGGTCCTCAGGCTCAACGCGTGCAAACCCCGCTCGAACTCGGGGGCCATGAGCGCATTGATGGCACGATGTCGTGCTATCTGAGACTGGAGAGGATGATGGGTCAGATGCATGTGTCAGCATGCCCTTGAATGAGGCTTCTGAGTCGCAGCTTTGCGCCAATAGTGTCCTTTGAGCGAGCTGACGCAGTGTCATTTCAAGGTTTTGACTCACTTTGCCCTCAAAGGCCGGCGAAATCACTTCTACGTAAAAGTCTGATGAGCAATTGTGACACGAGACAAGGGTGATGAGCTGAAGCGAGCAGATGACGACAGGGGCAGGATGCGCCCTTGTGCCCAAAAGCACCTACGCACGCGTCTCGCCATTGCCACCATTCTGAGCGACCATGGCCGCATGATGTGCGTGCTTGGAAGAGCTAGCAAGTCAGGAAGGGGACGTCAGCTTCGAGAAAGAAGCCTTGAAAGCTGACCAACGATACGTCACGAATTGCTTGTTGATGCGGATTCAAAGACTCACTCGTTCCTGATGGTGACTTGCGCAGGTGCGAATTCCTTTTCCAGCTTCGCTCTCATGGTAGCTTCGACGGACATGCTGTGCAGCCCTGCGGAAGTGTGAGCCTGCCGTGCGTGCAGAGTAAAAGTGGAGAGGCTGATTGGAGGCCGTGTCAGACGAGCAAGTTGGCTGATGGGACGAGTAGGGGCAGGCAGACGGATGCTGGCACTTGAATGAGCAGAGCTTGACCTGCAAACAAGCCTCGAGGTAAGATTGCCGCTGATGCTGGTGCTGATGCTGCTGCGATCGCGGCAGATGCCTGGCAGCTGGGTCAACGTGCGTTGAAAGCTGCCGCGCATCGTCCAGATCGATCTGTGCTGCTCTCTGCCACTGGTGACAATGGCTCGTGAAAGGTGTCAGGTGCGAGATGATTGTGGAGGTGAACTTTGGGATACGTGTGAATCGTTTTCGCCTTCATGGAAGATCACGACTGAGTGACTGAATGGTGAATGCACATCGAAGTGGCTTCTTGAAGTTCGCGACTCTGAGCGGAGTCGCTTGCTTGCATGTCGCACGAGAAAGCCGCATCTGCTGTCGAGGCTTCTCCAAGGACACGAGGCCATGGGCTCCACATGCCAAGATTGATGATCGATCACCTTTTCCCAATTTCTACTTTCAGCTCATGCGCCATCGTCACCACTCTCTCTTCCATTCTACTTCTTCACTCCACCGCCAGGCTTCGGTAGCGTCCATCTAGCAGATTCCTATACTAGTCCTCGCTGCCTAGGAAATGTCCGTCCTACCTTATGCTACGCTTCAACCCACTTACTCTGCCGTGTTCGATGACATCGCATCGGCTTTGATTGCAACCGACAAGGTATGGCTATCACTCTACGCTTTTAATGCGCCTTCGAGCAGCATACATGCGACCGTCTGGCTGGAACCTTGCAAACCTGCTTCCGCCGAACATGCCAATACGGAAGAGGGCACTGAACGGGCTGGGGGAGTGAGAATAGCAAAGGTGGACGGCAAGGTGACGGTCAGGAGGGTCAAGGGCAGCTCGGTGAGTGGCGCTTGGCACCGCGCGCTCTAGACACTGACGCATTGGGCTGGCTGACCTGCTCTCCTATTGCCTTGATTTTCTTTGAAAGACGGACCTGCTCGTCTCAACCACTTCATCAGAGTTGAATTCGAGCACATCGGCAAGGACAGCTCAGTCTCAAGTCTTATACGCACCCACCCTGCTGCGAGCTCCACGAAAGGACTTTGGGTCTATCATAAGAGGCCACGAAGGAGCTACAGCTCTAGATGTAGCGTCCTCGACTGCTGTTCCTGGCTTGGAGCGATACGTAGTAGGAGGGGCCGATGGAGCGCTGAGAATAGGCGTGCTTGATGTACCCAAGGAAGACGAGACCATCGACGAATCGCTGAAAGGAGCCGATGAGCAAGATGAGATCGAAAAGTTGGCGCAAAGGAGGATAAGGGAAAGGGCGAGGCAGTTACAAAGAGAGCAAGTGATCCCATGCAAAGGACATGTGGGAGACATCAGGTCCGCCCAATTCTTTCCCAGCGGTGACGGTGAGTAGCAGATGAGGCGTTTCGAAGTCAAGCGGCCTTTCGCTGTGTCTTGCTTGTAGAGACAACTGACGCGAGGAAAGTTTTGCATCTGCAGTGATCCTCAGCACTTCTTCAGATCACACCGCCAGGATATGGGATGCAAAGGATGGTACATGCGTCAGAGTGCTGAAGGGTCATTCCAGAGCTGTGCTTTGTGCAGCGCCGATCGGACGAGGCAGACAAGTCGTCACAGGAGGAGGAGACGGCACGCTGCGGATATACGACGTCGGCGAAGACAAACAGATAGGCGTGATCGGTTCCGACAGGTACAGCAGCGTCAACGCAGTAGGTCTGCGTCCGGAAAGCGTCTTTCCTACTTCCGATCAACCCGCAGAGTCCATGGATGTACCCACCTTGGCGGCTGGCCTAGCCTCGGGCAGAGTCCAGCTCTTTGACCTCAAAAGCAAAAGCTCGATAGGCCTGATAGATACGCACTCTTTTCCGCTCGGCTCCCCTCCCGCAGCAACTGACACGTGGGCCCAGTTGTCCAAGGGTGGCGGGATCACTGCTTTGGCATGGATCGACCAACACACGCTCATCGCTGGTACTACCGAAGGAGTCTGTTCGCTGCACGACGTCCGCAAGCTGGGCACCGGGTCTACAGAAATCGACGGCACGACTTTAGATGCATCAGTCAGCATAGAAGGACTAGAGGCGAACGCAGGACCGCCTTGCCTGATAAGCACTTGGCGAAGGAATGGAGCTGCGATTACGGATATACAGGTCAACACTTCAAAAGCCTCGCTCGGACAAGTCGACGTGCTCGTGGCTACTTCTGACGGACTTCCTTATCGAGCCGACATCTCCAAGCTTTTGTTAGGAGCAGCAGAGTCCAAAGCGACTGCGCCCAGAGTCACAGTGGAATACACGGGCTGGGAGGCTGAGAATGTCGGTACGATTCGTCTGGATGGGAAGGGCAGAGTGCTCTGCGCCGGCGCAGAAGGGATGCTCAAAAGGTATTGATCTTTTCAGTCACTCCAAACTCGCGCTCCAGCGTCTGGACAGAATACATATTGCATTCGCGTAGCGCGCTACTTGCTTCAGACCACCGCGTATCTCGCAATCACAAGCGGGCACGACGCCTGGCCAAAGTGTCCCTGGGCCTGTTCGACATTAGCGATCAGGGATGGCGGATCAGCGCGACCCCCTTCAGCCTCTCAGCTTCGCCTTATGGATTGCTCACCTCTTTGAGCAACGCACACTCACGCGCGGCCGTATGTAGCATCCGGCTCTGGCTTGTTGGCCAACACCTAAGGTTTGCGGGGGCAGCAATCGGAGACGGAGAGAGGAGATCATGAGCGAAATCGTGTCTTTTAAAATTTCTTTCCCGGTGCTCGATGAACGCGTACCTTTTCGATCTGCTCGTGCACCTCAGGGGTGAGCTTAGGCAGAATGTCGAGAGCCTTGAGGTTCTCGAGCACCTGTTCAGTCTTCGAGGCTCCAAGAATGACAGTCGAAACGTTCTGACGAGAGGAAAGGCGTGCAAATGAGACAATCAGCTTCCATTCGCCGTGTCGACGAAAAATTGACTGAACTCACCGGGTTGCTGGCAGCCCAAGCGAGCGACAAGGTGGCGACGCTGGTGCCTAGAGACTCGGCAATCTTTGTCAATCCCTTGACCTTTTCAATCTTTGCCTGACCCTCTGGAGTCTTGAGCTTGGCAATGGTGTCTGTGAAGGTGTCCGCCTGCGAACCACTTGCAACGTTAGCGATCGCTCTTGGCTCAATCGCGGTACAGCCCTGACGCACCTTGGTCTGGTAGCGAGAACCCTCGGGAATGTTGCCCTGTGCAATGTCGTTATACTTGCCGGTCAAAAGACCGCTCTCGAGCGGCGACCACGTGGTCAAACCATAGCCGTACTTTTTGTACAGTGGGGCATACTCCTTTTCGATCTTTTCGCGATGCAGAGCAGAATACTTGGCTTGGTCGGCCACGGGAGGAACCAAGCCCAACTTGTCCGCCACGCCATGCGCTTCCTCAATTTGTTGCGCTGTCCACTCGCTGGTGCCCCAGTAGAAGCATCTTCCCGTATCGATGAGGTGGTTGAAGCCTCGCACAATCTCGTGCATGGGAACGCTGACGTCAGGTCGATGTGCCATTATGACTGTGAATGAGCACAGAGGGTGTCAGAAGGTCAGTTAACAGACGTGCTGGAGTGTACATGCGTCAAGCCGTTCACGATAGTCTAGCTCATGTCGCGCACGACGCGACCATGTGTACCTAGACACGACCATCACCACCATTGAACCCATCTGCGACACTCACCATCCCAGTACTTGAGGCCAGCGCGCTCCAACGACGCATCTGTGCCTTCCACCTGACAATCAAAGTAATTTCAGAGCTGATGAGCAGTGGGGCCTGCTTGCGAAGAGCGCCGGATGACAAAGACTTACCAAGTGCTTTCTGGACAGGCCTCTGCCGTTGGGATCCTTGCTTCCGGTGCCAAAAAAGATCTGCAGGCATACGACCAGAACAAGAGTAAGTGAAGAGCTCACACCAGAGTCCAGTCCACCTGCTCTGCAGTGCTCGCCTTGGTGATTAGTACAACGTCCGATCTCCTCCAGCCGAGCTCCTTGACCGCTTGTCCCATGGCGACTGGGAGCACAGCATGGAGTGCACTGAGCACAGTCAGCTTCGGCAGCATCACAGCTCAAACATCACCTCTCCTCCTATTGCACCCACCCTCGCACTCTCCACCGCTGTACACTTCTGCCGTATCAAAGGTGCTGATGCCATTTTCAAAAGCGACTTTGAGAATCTCCTTGGTCTTGGCCGTGTCGACCGTTCCTCTGTCAGTGGGCGATGGAAGGGAGAAGTATCAGAGGCAATGTGGTGGTGCAGTCGACATCCTTCCGCACTCACCCGTACGTGAGCCAACCGCCGAGGGAAAACTTGCTCACTCGCAGACCAGAGTCACCTGTGGGTGTGTGTGTGTGTGTGTGTGGACGGGTCTATCCCAGCGTGAGCCTCGGTCGTGGATGAGCAAGACCTTATGGGCCATGCCGATCCTTTGCTCACCCAGACGCTGGAAGATCATGTTCTTGGGATCATAAGTAGGTTGCGACATCTTGACTGGAATTGGTGAGCGAGCTGTTGCGAGACCGATGGTGCGAAGTTTGGAAGAAATCGGAGGATGGTGTTGCGAAGAAGAAAAGCTGAGACTCACCAGCTTGGCGTTCCTTTCAGAGTCAGAGTGAGTGAGTGTCTGCTTATTACAGCACCCCACTCATGACTCAACTGTGACTCTTGACTGCAGCTAGTCAGCCCCGTCAGAGCGCTGACGCAGCTATGATTTATTTCCCCGGTGCTGCATCGGCGTGTGGAGGTTTGAACGGGTATTTGAATAATGTGACTACCGGTACGGTACACCGGCAGCATGCGCATGATGCCTGCATGCCTGGATGCCTGCCCCGCCGGAATAACCACCACGAGAAGAACATCAAATTCGAGTTTCAGGCGGAGTTGCGAAATTGAAATTACCGCACAGCTTGAACGAGCTAGGATCACATCCTTTTTGAATATACGTACAGCTCGCAACTTCGAATTGAACCTTGAATCTAAAATCAAGCTCTTGTCTGACAATTAAGCTGCCCATGTTGTTCTTTGTGTCACCTAAAGGCGCAAGCTTGCATGCTTGCTTGCATTCAAGATTCGTCCGATATCCTGATCTCCTCAGCCCCTCTCTCTCCAAGGTGTCATCAAAGAGAAGAGGCAAGGCAACATGTGCGCCATGCAAACTCTCAACGCGGGTCTGCTTCTATCAAAGCAGGGGGGCGCCATTATAGTGGGCCGCTCGCTCTCTGCGACTGCTGCTGTTTGCACGGCGAGAGTCGAGATCGAAGGAACGAACGATCGATCGATGGATGAGCAGCGAGGACCATGCAGCAGCAGGGCAAGCATACATACACAAGTCCCGGAATAAGGATCACAGTCAGCAAGAGTCACTCACGACTCGTGACTTGAATTGCATGGGGCGAAAAGTATACCGGTACGGTACGCGAGTCAAAGTGAGGATGCAAAAGAAGTCACAGTGGCGAGTCACGAGTATGGTCTGTCGGTCAGTCTTCGTCATAGTTGCCACGGATGAACAGGTCGCACGTCAAAGCATGTCACTTGCTCTCAGACTTCAGACTGAGCTTGATTCCTATACTGATCATCGTTGGGAGCCGCAGGGTGTATATATATAAGGACATGAAATTCTGGGCCGAGTGGTCATTAAGGCGTGTGAGAGCCTGTGCACTTTATCAAGACTACGCAACATGAGGAACTTGCGCACAAAACGTGGGGCGAGACCCTCTTGCTGAATTGCGGCGTTGGCCAAGGGAGATGCAGCCACGCTCATGAGCCGGCAAAAGTATTCAATGATTCTGAGCGTCTCAATGAAAGACAGGTGATGGACTTGATTGCTGATCCACGGTACGGGGGTCGGCAGGCCTCCCAAAGAGGACACTATAGCGCTGCGGTGGTCTAATTAAGCCTAACGGTTTTTTAGTCTCTGCCACAATGATGAATCCATATCAGCTAGTCGAAGAGTAATATGTTTCGGCTCCAAGTAAGTCTATGCAGGGGTACAAGAGCCACGATTCGGCGAGCTGCTTGATTGGAGTCGAATGTCATGTGTGGTATGTGATTGAAAGTGAGGATGCAGCAGCAGCTTACAGAGTCTAGAGTTTGAGTGGGTGCGCCGAAATACGGCAGCTGACTGACTACCCACGGAATTCCGCGTGCGGATCCGCAGCGCCACTCAGACTCAATCTTGAGTGGAAGGTGAATCCTATATAGTCTGATTGTATAGTCTGATATTCAAGAATTAAGAAAGTCAAGTCACACACTTGACATCTGGAATTAGTCTGCTCAGCATCTCACGTATACCAAGTCTTGATTGGACTCGGCGAGCCTTCTGAATCAAAGTGGATTCATGAGCGACATCGATGTGACTCAGGATAGCAAGGCGTTCATCTCACGTTGGGTCGCGCGTGCATTCGGTCAAGTCGCTTACAATCGTTTGGGAGCCAAAAAGGGGTACGTGGGCTCGAGAGGCGAAGCGGACCGTCATGTAGTCGTGAGTGCAGATGGTGCAGAGGCCGCTCTATAAGCGAGTGCCGGTCGTCATCAGTCGACTCGCTCACCTGTTGCCCCGCCGCGACGGCTGCGCAGCTCTCCCTGCTACTCTCGCCATACGACATTCCATCAGGATTCAAGCTCATCGACGCAACGGCAATCCTAGTAGTCGGTCAGGTGGAGATCTGGCTGCCCGTGATGATCAGCAAAGGTGAGGGTAACAATCGCGAAAAAGGGCCGTCGGTCATTCTTCGCTCAACGAGCTCGAACTTTTCCACTGCCCTATTGACCTTCTCCGACGATAGGCTTTCAAGCTCGTCTATCGCTCTCCTCGAGAAGTCATGAGGGTCTGCCAGAGTCGAATGTGAGAAAGAGCGGCGAGGTCGACCTGACCGCTTTCCCGCCCGAACTACGCGGAAAAGCGCGTTCCAACGTCAAGCGTGGTGCGGTTTTCCTGGAGGGAAGGCAGGACATCACGTTGCTTTTTCGGCATGTGGGCAAAGACGTAGCAAAAGCTTCGGATGCTGCCAAGATGCCAGACATTGCAGCTGTGCTCTTACCCTCCCCTGAAAGCTCAACGGCAAGCGTCGCTTCTCGAAGTTCTAGACAGGGGTCAGTCATTCTTGAGCGACCCGACCATCCTCCGCAGCCGTGCTTTGCTCTGCTCTGGATCGACCATTCGAAAATTGTCATTTCTGGCCCAACGATGCAACAGGGAGAAGCTCACGAGTCCCGCATGTTGAGGATGTTGCCCAAGATGTGGCGCTCGTCGACACTGCTCGTACCAAGCGAAGCTAAAACGGACCGTAGTCTGCAAACAACGAGAAAGGCGGCAGGAGAGGAAGACGGGATTTGCGCTTTTGACAATGGTGTTGCTGTCCAATTGAAGAAAGCGGACTTTCATGGTAAGGCCCAGCGATCGAAGTGCGCTAGCAGTTCAGGAAGTTGATTTTCCTCGCACGCCTGTAGGTAACGACCACCAACAAAGACGTGGTGATCTCATCGGCACCATAACTCTTCATCTGTGGACGAAAGAGTCCATCAAGGGTGTCAGTAGGCCTTATACGGCTCTGCATGTCCCGGACGTGATTTTGTGAGCGGAGTAGAGAGAAATTTCCCTCGACAGACATTGATGATGTTGCGTCCCCTCCACCAGCCACTTTGATCTCCTAGAAGCTGGTCGAGACGTCGGTCCTGGATACGCCGAGCCTCGCACCACTGCCGCGATAGAAAACTTGACGAGCGATCTAGGGCGTGGACTCACGGTGCAAAGCGATGAAGCACCAGTCGGCACGATAAGGAGCTCAAAGGCTCGACAAAGGGATTTAAAAGGAGAAAGTCCCTGTTCGATTGATCCCTCCCAAACCTCTCATAGATACGGGTCCCCCGCATGTTCGAGAGCCGACAGTCATAGAGGTGGCCAGCAAATGAGTGGGACTGCGAACGGCGATGCGAAGGTCACCGAAAATGTTCCACCAAAATCCCTCAAGTCTATGTCGGCGACACAAGAGCCTGCAAAGAAGTTGATAGAGGGCGGCAGCACAATTCATCCAGGAGAAATTGGCTCAGCCTCCGATCCAGAACTTAGCGATGGGTTCGACAAATTTTCGAACCCTCCGGTAGGATGCGAGGGGACGATGAGGACCACACAAGATCCAGGGCAGCAAGTGGCCGTGAAGACATCGAACAACCAGAATGCACCGGGCTATGATCATCAGTCGTCATCGGTCCAGCATCTGTCCAATATTGCGCCTAGCTCGAGTAGCAAGCTAGCAAGTACTGAAAGCACCTTTCAAAGCTTTCCAGCATCGCCACTGGCCCTGATTCCCGCTACCTCAGCTGAGATCGAGTACTTGATTGACGACGAAACAAGCCTTAAGACGGAGATTCGTGCTGCCATTTCAGACTCTGCGGTCGAAGGTGGGACCGTTCGTGACAGTCGCGAATCGCTGCCCGTCGCGAACACGTTGAGACAGGTTCCGGCATCAAGACCGCTATCACTCACCGAAGCTGACATCTGGTCAGCTCATCGAGGTCTCGAGCCAATCAAGGTGCGCGAGTGGGTTCGGACATTCCCTCATTGCTCTTGCTGACTGCCTCTTGGTATCCCACTTCACGCCATACAGCGCCAAGCGAGAGACTTGGATCTGCAAAAGTTGCTGCTTGAAGAGAAATTGCGGGAGCGTCTGGCGGCGGCCATCGAGCAAGAGCGTCAGGACTGGCTGCAACAGGTGCAAGAGAAGCAGCAAGAGGTTGATAGGTTGAAGAGGCTTTTGGAAGAAGGCACCGAGAACGGAGTCTAAGTTGCTTCTCCATCGCCAAACCAGACAGAGCCACTCCTTTCGCCAAGTCGTTCGCTTGTTTGTGCCTTGCCGATCCTCGCTCAACAACCGCTAGGCCGATGACACTAGCGCGGGGCGTAGTGTACGCACAAGATTCAGATGTCGACCACATCGAGCGCTCCAGTCCGTCCAATTTTGACTTTCCTCTGAGTTACATATCTCTGGCATTCACACCGGCACCGCGCGTCGACGGCAAGACCTGGTTCTCCAGTAGCAATGAATGCCAATTCCCGACGTCCCGCTTTCCCAAGAGATCACTGGACATCAAAGAGTCTCGGGAGCTCAAGCGTAGCGTAGATTGGTCCTTCTTCGCGATTGGGGGATGAAGGATGAAGTAGTGGCAGCAATTTTGGATGGACAATTATGAATCACGACAAACTTTTCAATGTGATCGGACTCAAACTACGACTTTGATTCAAGATTGATGCGTAGCGCATTGACCACAATCGTGAATCGAACTCCATCAAAGAATCCGCGGCGTGGCAGGGAGCTCTTAGCTTGCCCCGCGGGGCTGCTTGACCTTCTGCGTGTGCATGCATGCAGCCATTATAGATTCAAGATTACTCACGATGGCCCGTCTTGATCAGAGATTGAGTTTGCGTGGGTTGCGTGCACGCCACGTCACTAAACAAAATTGGTCTCGGTTTCAATTTGGGCTTTCAAGGTAAAAAGGGACGGGGGTGAGGCAATTATTGACCCGCGGGCGCAGATTTGAAATTGAAGTGGTCTCATTTACGACGCTGCTGCATGCAGAGGCAGTCTGAGTTGAACGACGGACGGAGTCTCAGAGCGCTCCGTGGAAGCTTGTCGTGCTCCGCCCGCCAGCGTCCACCAGTACAAGGCGTTACTTCCGACCACGATCCCTCAAAATGTGCACTTGCCTATCCCAAATTCTGCTTTTCCTTGATGCTGCTCTGTTCCTGAGACCACAGCAACGCCGCTGCACTGCACTGCACTCCTCGCACCAAAGCAAGACCGCTGGCGTCCAAGACGTTTCTTTTGGCCTAGCACATCACGATCCTTGCTTCCAGTTCGGCAAGGTTGGGAACAAGTGGCTCTGACGCTCCTCTCGACAGGTCCGGTCAGCATGAGGGTGCACCGGTTGGCTCTACTGGCTTCGCTTCTGGTGGTCGCAGTCATGACCACCGTTCCCATCGTCTCGGGCGAAGCTGTGCCCGACGCGGATGGCAAGACGGCCTCTCAACATCTTAAAGAGGGAGTGGCAGCGCTGACGACAGGTCGCTACACCTCTGCACTCGCTTCTTTCGATGCGGCTATCGCATCAGACCCCAAGCACTATCTCTCGTACTACAGAAGAGCTACGGCTCTATTGTCTCTCGGCAGAACTTCGGCCGCCTTGCAAGACCTGGATGCTTTGCTCAAGCTCAATCCTTCCTTTGCTCAAGCGCACCTCGAGAAAGCAAAGACACTGGCCAAGGATGGAGAGTTGGACCAAGCGAAAGAATCAGCAAAAGAGTTTCTAAAACTGAAAAAGTCAGACGAGCAGGGACTGACTTTGCAAAGCAGTATAGATGCGGCTATCAAAGCTCAGCAAACACTAAGGACCACGGCGGCCAGCGTCAACAAGCTGGTAGCGAAGGATGCCAAAGATGCAAAAATTGCTGCTCAGGCTGAAGCATGTCGCAAGCACGCCAGTGTAGTGCTCGAGACTTCGCCAGGAAATTTGGAAGCTCGAAGGCTGAGGGCAAATTGCGCACTTGCGCGAGGTGATCTGGATGATGCCGTTGCAGACTGGAGGTGAGTAGAGCGATGAACAGACAGGTCTTGAACTTCACGCTTCGGTTGAGATCCTATCTGACTTTCAACTCTTCTGACGCGCGCAGTCGCATAGCCCATCTGGCCCCGTCTTCTGAACTTTTAATACGGTTGTCATCCCTCTCCTACCTCATACTGGGCGAAGAAGGCTCTTCGCAGCAGGAAGCAGGTTTGCTGCATCTTAAGAATTGCCTCAACTCGGATCCCGACAACAAAGCCTGCGCGCGAGCACATCGTCGATTGCGAAACCTGAACAAGTCGCTCAAGAAGGCTCACAATTTTGCGGATGCAGAATCTTGGAGAGCTGTGCTGTCCGCGCTCAAAGGTCCAAAGATAGGAGGACCGACTGTATTGCAGGAAGTGGAGAGTGCGATCAAGGACGATCTGACGTCGAAGGATGGCAAGGAGCCCGTCTTGCCGGCCTTCCTGCAAGATGCTGTCGAGAGGAGCGCATTGATGCACGAAATTCGCTCTCTTACGTGTCAAGCCCACCTGGAACTGGATGAGATCAAGAAGGCGATCCCGGCTTGCGATGCGGTGTTGAAGAGAGAACCAGAGAATCCTTCGGCGCGAGCTACAAAGGGAGAGGAATATATGCTGGAGGAAAAGTACGAGGAGGCCGTCAGAGAGTTCGATGCTGCATTGAAGGCTGCGGGAGGGCAAGATCGATCTCTCTACATGCGCTTGCAGAAGGCTCAGAAGAGACTGAAACTATCGAAAGCTAAGGACTACTACAAAGTCTTGGGAGTGCCGAGAAGTGCAGATGCCAAGACGATCAAGAAGGCCTTCAGGAACAAAGCGAAGGAGCATCATCCAGACAAAGGCGGAGACGAGAAGAAGATGGCACAGGTCAATGAGGCATTTGGAGTCCTGGGCAACGACGAGCTGCGAGAGAGGTACGATGCGGGAGATGATCCCAACGATCCCATGGCTGGTGCACAGCAGGGTCATCCCTTCCAGCAAGGAGGCAGCCCCTTCGGTCAATTTGTGAGTAGTGCTGCCTACGTCCTTGATCACAAATTCGTGCATGCATCTCGCTCACACAAACTTTCCAACGACCGCAGTTCCAACAGGGTGGAAGTCCGTTTGGCTCTCAATTCGCTCAGGGTGGTCAACAATTCCATTTCAGCTTTTAGGAGATGACAAAGTGATTGTCATTCTTAGTGTCCATTGCACGTCACCATGTTAAAGAAGATGCAGAATTACGATTCAATGAAATGTGAATCTTCCGATCAGCGCAAGGTCGAGGCGCGTCTCCCTGTTCGTGCTTGCAGGCCTGGAGGCCGCAACGTTTCGGCTGTGCCTGGATGACTACAAATCTAGCGTGACCGGAAAGCCCTGGGAGGGCATTCTTCAGTCACCAGTGTGGTGAGGGCAATCCTGCCCCAGGCCTAGTCGCCATTCCTGCTCATCCACAATGTCCGCGACTTTTTCGATATTCTGAGCCGGCATCAACCATTCGAGCAATCCCAAAAAAAGCATGTCTACGGCAACGATGATGCAGAAAATCTTGCCAGCGACAAAGCCGCCGGCGTGATATCTGTTTGATGGTGATTTTGATCAGCATGTGCAGAGAGCTGATGCGATGCCGCGCATCGAATGCCCACCCGCTTCGACTCACTGCTGGAAGCGGTCGAGCCGATCTGGAAAAGGTGCGGCAATTGCGGTATGGTAAACCCTCTCCGTCCTCTCTGCGACGTCTGCCCAAGAGTACATCTTTTCGATTGCTTCGTGATGTGCAGCGGGATCATGCTTGCCGGATCTAACGTGCTCGATTGCCGCATCCATAGCACGTACGACGTCTGACAATGGGCAGCGTGCTGCGTTGTGAGCAAAAGCACGCCAAGTAGACATCACACGTATCGACGACGTACCGTCTTCGTCTGGTATGGCTAGCACTCGCATCCACGGAGGAAGCACTTCGGGGACACCACCTACACTCGTGCTGACGACGTACAAGCCAGCGCATGCAGCTTCGATGATCGACGTTCCGAAGGCTTCCGTGAGACTCGTATTGAGAAAGATCTGACCGCGGATCAGATGCTACGCGAGAGGACACAGCATTTGTTAAGTATCACAAATTTGGAGAGTGGAAGCGTGCGGCACTCACATCGCGGACGTCTCCTTGTCGGATACCTCCAGAAAGCTCTACCCTTTCGTGCAACAAGTATCGCTCTCGCATTTGTTCCAGCTCGATACGTTTCGGGCCGTCACCGCCAATGACAAAGCGAACGTCCGGGTGTTTCTCGCAGATTCGAGGTATGGAAGCAATGAGCAGATCAATGCCCTTTCGATACATTAGGCGACTGAGCACGACGATTGTCACTATTTAGGGAGCGCGCGTCGTTAGGATCCTCGACTACTCTGTAGCCCGCGGCTCTACAGTAGCCGATACTCACGCCCGTCACGAGACGATGGAGTGGGGCCGATGGTGAATTGAGAAGCGACGACTGCATTCGGAATGACTGACACCTTGCGTGGATCCAAAGCTGCGCGCAACACTGTGTTTTCCTTGCTATGGAGTCGCAGGCCAGCTCTGGTCAGTCAGTCGCCTGATACAGTACGCCTAGCAGATAGGGACTCACCCGACGTGGCTGACGCAAATGACATGGTCTACATCGCTCAGCGCGAATCGGAGCAGCTTGTTGGTCAAGATGCTCGCGGCGTCGGCGAATCCAAACAAGCTGTGGTCGGTAAAGCAAGCGCGGACGCCCAACGTACGAGCGTGCAAGATGCCCTCGTGAGCCATGCTCGACAAGGCTTGGTGCCCGTGCACAATGTCGATCCGTTCGCGTATGAGAATGCTGCGCAGCACGGGAAACAGCGCAAAGAATTGCGGCAATGTGTCTTGCCGAGCAATTACTTGAAATGGGATGTGATACACCTTGAGGCCAGAGGTCAGATACCTCACCCCTGTGCGCTCCGGGTCATATGCGTGCGTGATCACGATGACCTGCCAGCAAGAGACCGCTGAGACAGGGGTCAGCCTGCCACCTCTGTCGGTCGTCAGTGAGGGCCCGCTTACCTTGTGTCCGCGGGAAATCAAACGCTGGCTGAGCATGTATATGTGGCCTTCTACGCCTCCAATGTTCGGATAGAAAAAGTCTGATATCATACTGCGAAAGATGCAGGCAGGTGTATAGATTGCATGAGGACGGTGTTCTTGCATCAGTCCACAAATCTGGGATCGCGTGTACAAGATGCAGCTCACGCAATTCGGAGGCGCGAGCCAAGCGACGACAGCTCATGATCTTGCAAAACTTGCTGCTGCGCAAAAGCTTCTAATCTCGCGCCAATTCCAGCTTGCGCTGCAACGCGCAGCTCCAAGGCAGATGCGTGATCCAGCAGTGTCTGGCGAGGATGAATTCCAGTGCGTGCCAGGCTCTTTTGTACGGCTCGTGAAGCCAGAGCAGATCGGAGAGCGAGTGCGTACTGCGCCGGCGTAGTTGCCTCGACTTCATCCGACACACCACCTCTACGCGACGCCAATACAGAGCTCACGCGTTTCAAGACGGCGAGCTGCTCTTCCAAAAGCGCATCAGCACCAGCAGACTCTGGTGGCAAGGCGCATTTCGACGCAAAGCGAGCGGCGATCTCGAGGTCATGAACGACCTGTCTGTACAGGTTCGGCGCCTCCTCAGCAAAAAGGACGCTGTGAGATGCTGCACTGAGATGCAACTCATGCTCTAAGGATCGCGATGCAGCTTGTCAGCCCCATCTCCTCAAAGAGAGATCGCATCTGACATCATTTCGCGACTTACGTAGTCGGTCTTCGCTAACCAGCAAATGGCCCCATACCCATCGTTCCCACAAAGACGATAGTGTCGTGTTGGCGTAACGCTCTTCCATCCAAGTCCATGCGCGCTCTGCACTAGCGAGGCTGCCCATTCCCAAAGACCGCGCGCGTCTCATCGCAGCATCAAAGATCGCATCCACGGTCGGCAAGTTGTCGTCGTCAGCGGCGGAGCCGACAAGGTTCGTGAAGACGTCGACAGCAGTATCCCGGATATTTTCGTCGTCATCACTGAGCATTCTGATGAGAGCTGTGCGCGCCTCAAAGACAGCCTTGCTTTGCTGCGCGCTGACTGCGATAGTACCATCGTCAGCTGGACACTGCCTGCTGAAGAGGGCTTTCTGTATCAGGGACAGTGATCGCACTGCAGCGATCCGCAAGTCGAGCGCCTGCGCAGATACAGAGGACAGAACATAGATGAAGGTGGATCAGCTTGCCTTCACGGAGTGATCCCTGCGCAACATCCCACCAGCCTCACCTGACGTTCTTCCGAAAAGGGGACAACGAGTTCGCAAACGTCCGCAACAGCTGCAGAAGCAGTCGGACCCGGCAGCTCGGCAGCTCCGCTGGCCAGGCTGGCCAAGGCTGGCAATGCCGCTTCTTTGAGTGGCTCTGCAGCACCTGCTCGAGTGAAAATATTAGACACCCGCGCCAAAGCTCCGGGAGAACCTGGGAGATGCCTTCCTGTATTCTGAAGGCACCAGCGACTGAGCAAGCGACCGGCGGCACATTGAACCCAGACCTCTTCCGCGCCGTTTGTTAAGATGTGCAGAACATCCGCAAGCACACTGTCGGTGAGATGAGCCGCATCATCTGAGGTTGCCAAGCTTTCGATGGCAACGAAGCGCACGTCAGACGATGGGTTCCTGAGAAGGCTATTCCGTATCTGAGAGGTGTTGCCGGCGGACAATAACTCTTGGGCGACGAAGCGTGCGCACTGTTGAAGCAGGCGTGGAAAGCCGGCTGCTCTCTGTTTGCCTGCGTGGCTCGGCGTAGCGCCCTGCGCCAGCATCGCAATAGCGAAGCTGGTCATCTTAGGAGATTCGAGGGGCCCTAATTGAATTGTAAAGGCGAATGCAACGCCCATGAAAGCAGCCTGAGTCGGTCCACATGGATTGCTTTCCAGCCAAAGAGGCACAAGTTGATCGAGAGCATTATGCAATGATGCGACATCATCCGGATTTCGGCCTTCGTGAGTGATCAGCAATCGTTCTGCCGCCAGCATGCTACCATGGGCGTGATTTTGATCGCCTCTTGAACATGTGAGCAATAACCTGGCGGCTGCCCTCACATGCTCGTCTGACGCGACACAAGAGCTATAGGCCTTGGCTGCAACCTCGCGAAGCTGGAGGGGGCAAGATGGGGGTATCAGCTTTACACTGCGCTCTCACGCACAAATCGATCACTCACCATCCAACGCGGGCTGCTCAAGCAACGCTCTACAGCTGTTCTGAAGTTGTCTGCATTTAGCGTCGCACCGCGTTGCATGTTATCGACTTGCAGGTTCGACAACAGCATCAGAATGGCATACAAAGCACTTTGGCTGTCACCAACGCTACTTGATACCGTGCCATTTTCGAGTGGAGTCGTCAGTCTACTGAGCCGTCCAAGCTGGTCCTCCAATGCGGCTTTCAACCTTGGATAGCGAGTGAAGAATACCTGAAAGCGTACACGAGCCTCGGGCGCGTCCAAATTTGGCGTCCGTCTCGGCAGAATGCGCCGCATGAGCGCGCTGAAGAGCATCATGGCCGCGTTTCGAATGCCCCAATGCTCCGAGCTGAAACGTTCGACAACGATTACGAGCAAGTTGCCGTTGTAAGATGCAAGCCGAGAAGATAAAGCAGCATCGTCAACGAGAACGCGCGTAATGTTGAACGCGTGCGTCTGTGCCTCTATATTTGAAGCACTGCTGCCTTTGAGAAGGTCGACCAGTCGTTGCATAGTGGCCTCAATAGTGTTGTGATCTTCCGGAGGCACTGCACTGAGTAGAGCCAGGACGGCAGAGCCGATGCCCGCACTTCTTCTGGTCGTTGAAAGGCTCTTTCCAGAGTCCTCTATCAGATTGACAAAGCTGTAGAGCCAATGCTGCGGCAACGCACTTGCCTCCGGCCACTTCCGCAGCTTCCGTAGGCTGGCTGCTGTCTGAGCGAAAGATGGTGCAATCGTGCTGAAAGCGCCTCGGTGGCGCACGCAAGTCATCCACTCCACGAAACGCTTGCCGACATCTTGCAGGTCTTCAAGGCTTAAAGGGGCATCTGCTGCCGTCGTGTCCGGGTTGGTGGCCAGCTGTACGAGCTGCGCAAGCAGCAGAGAAGCCTCCTTCATACTGCGCCAGCAATACGATAGTAGTGCCTGATACGCCGGAGAGGTACCTTCAGTGGTCTGATCGTCTTCTTCACCTGCCAGGGCTAGCGCACGTGCGTTCTCGTGGTCCGGCTGTGAGGCCGCGGGGCCTTCTGGAGCATTGTTGCACAGGACTGTTCGAGTGATGGACCAGACACGGTCGATGATAAACAATGCTCGGCGGAAGACTGCAGCACTTGTCGTCTGATTCTGCTGGAGGTCACTGCTTGCTTCGCGGAACAAGGACTGCAGAGCAATCAGAGCGCCATGCAAAGGCCGATTATATGCGACTTGGACCAAAGCTTCCTGACCGGCTTGAGCTTCATCAAGCAAATTGGAGACCAGCTCTAGGTGTTGGTCGATAAACAACACCGACAGCTCTGCTCTTCCCACTTCATGACCGGCACTTTTCGATCGAGATTCGGATGGCAAGCGCAACGTATCCAACGCAAACGCTGAGATTGGTCTCACTGACCACAGACACCTTTGCACGTACACCCTCAAGAAGAGCGTAGATAAACTGGCAGCCGCAGTACTGTCTGCCTCTCTGGGTCCTAAAATGAGGCGCGCTGCACGCGCTAGAATGGCGCCTTCAGCTGCGTCTATCGTCTCCATCCCAGGTATCGGAGCTGGGAAGCGCGCCAACAAGTCCATTGCGATCGCCTGAATGCCGGGATATGTACTGTCGATGCACGTTAGCAGAGCTCGCGCAAGCTGGGGTGTGGTCAACTGCAAGTTGAAGCGAAAATCTGCGAAAGCGCTCTCTCCTAGATGCTTTGGTGCTTTGGACGCAATCACTGTATCTTTGGAAGCAGCGGTATCCAAAGCAAGGAGATGGTCCAGAAAGAAGAGCGCCATAGAGCATGCGTAGAAGGGGCTTCCTGGATACAAGGCATGCTGCGATCGAGCAGCCAACCAGAGCAGGAAATCCTTTGAGCGCTTCAGTCCATTTGACAATTCCTCGCGGCGGCGCTGAAGCGCGGCCGACATGTCGCTAGGATGCAGCGCCTCGATCCTGTTCAAATCCCGGGTTGCGCCAAAGCAGCTCGATTGCAGCCTTGCCATCATCCTCGTGACTGTGCTCTGACCAATACCCCTACTTTCAGGACCTGTGCAGCTGAAGCTCTGGGCAAGGAATGGTCTGACCACACGCAATTCCCCCTCGCCGAAGAGCCCTGTTCGTGACCGCGAGTCTACCGCTAGACTCAATGCAAGCTGTTGCAGCTCCGGCGAAGACGAAGCAGCCGCATCTTGTAAAATGATGCTCGGCACTTCTAATGCGTCGTTATCGCCATCGTTGTCGCCGTGACCGTCGCTACGCTCGACGGCCGCCAGGCCCAAACTTTGAGCAGCTTTTAGGACGGTGAGAAAAGTGTGCAAGAAATATGGCTTCTTGGCAGAGGTGTCGTTCAGATGCTGTAGCAGAACACGAAGTGCAGCGGGAGCGACTCCGAGGAGAGCAGTGACATGAAAGATGCCCATATCTTTGCGAGCTGCTGCTGAACCTGTCAACAAAGCTTCCGCTAGCGGAGCCTTCCAGCTCTGACACCATCTCGACCACTGCGCTTCTTGCGTGAGACGTGACAACGACAGATCGCATTCATGCTGCACGGCCAGCTGCTGCAGGAGGAATTTTCCGATGCTCGCCTTCTTCGACGTCGAAGCATCGAGGTGCGAGTTGCCGCTGACCAGCAAGTCACCGTACAGAGTCGGCGCCTTTGCCAGGACCCAGGCAGCGTCGTGAGCTGCAAAGATGAAGAGCGCAGCGAGCGAAGCGCGGTCTCCACGTAGAGGCACGCATCTCTCGATAAAAGAGTCGATAAGGAAACAGTGCGACGGGAGATAGTCCACGATAACAGCGAGGAGCTTCGCGGCACTTTGCGATGTCGCACGATGAGTCGATCCTAGGCAGGTCCACAACACTGGCGCCAACTTCTGCTGCTCGTCGCTCTCAAACAGTTCTGTAGAGCTGGGCGTAGACGCGATTGTATGCTTGGCGACTTGTAGTGACCAAGTAAGGCATTCGAGCCCTTCTCGAATGGATCCAGACTCGATATGGGCACCGCCTTTGTCATGGCTCCACACTGCGTTGATGCATAGCTCTAGCGAGGCATGCAACAGTTCCACCAGTTTGTGGCGCGGGGAAGATGCCTCGGCGGAGTGGAGTGAGTACACATCCCTTATGCCTTGGACAATGGCTTTTGCTTGAGACGACGAAACTGAGGCTATGGATGGGAGCTTCGGTGAGCGAAGGCCATTGTGAGACATGCTAGGCTTCTGGGACTGCGTGAGAGCCGTGTGCGATCTGGCAAATAGTCCCTAGTCCCGGCCTAAGGCGGGTCGATCGAAGGTGGTAGGACAGTGCAGCACGTAGTGATACTTTGAGGTGAGGTGAGGGCTTGGCTGACACGAAGAGCGACTGTGACTCTGGATGAGCAAGCCGTTTGGGATCAGACAACTGTAAAGGAAGCGCTGCAGCTGCTTTGAGCAAGAAGAAAGCATCAGCTTCTGCATAGATGGAGCGCGCCCGCGCGTCCACGCGTGGCTACCATACGGACGGGCGTGCCTGCCGTACGAGAGTTGCGGGCGCGGTCTCGCAGGCTTCCCGGTCGACTTTCCCGCCATCACGGCGTGCCCGCTCGCTCCACAAATCCATGCCGACATCGATCGAACGACCATGCCCTCGTAAACTTTGCTTCCCCACCCACAGACTGGGCTCATACAGCTTCCACGTCCATGATTAAAGTCCTTCCAAGGAAACATTTGACGAGGCCAGATCGCAAATTTACCATTTGCTTCACGCACGGACGCCGAGATGAAGAGGGCAGCCGCTTTCCAGCTGACCTCGGGCTCAGGTGATGGCGATGAGTCGGAAGAGGGCCAGAATGGATCCGCTGGTGGCGCAGGCGCGTTGCAAGGTAGCGGGGCTGGCAGAGTGTGAGTGATCTTTCTTATGTGAAAAGAGTGGAGTGGCCGGAGCAGGAGTACTGCCAGTGATGTTTGCCTGCCGACTGGGCGGAGGTGCGCCACATCGTTTGTCGTCAACTTCATGATGCAGTGAAAGCTGCCTTGGGTCACTTGGCGCATCGCGGCTCAGCGCTGATCAGCCTTCATCACTGCAGTATCAAGGGTATGCCTAGACGGAAAGGAAGCGGAGCCCCCGGTGGGGCAAGTTCAGCATCAATAGCGGCAGCGTCAAGTTCGGCGCCTGGTCGAACTCCTTTCTCTTTTGGTACAGCAGCACCTCCCGCGTCAAACGCTTCTTTCGTACAGAGCAATGCTGTTGGTGCTTCAAACGGCATTGCATCCGCTCCCGCGACTCCCGCTACTCTCTTTGTGAGTACTCGAGTGCAGATCGCGGCGAAGCTACCCTGGCGCTCTGAGCTCTCGTAGAAGGCGCTGATTGTGGCATGGAACTTCCACTGACACCCTTGCGCACCACTCTCGCGGTCTTCGTAGTCATTCGGCTCTTCTTCGACGAGCAGCGCAACACCCCAAGTCACATCCTCCACTTCTCGGCAATCATCCGCTGAATCCTACTACCTGAAACTTAGAGGCCTCAATCACTCCCTTTCTAGCGCATTGGAAGGTGTCCTCAAGGCCGATCCGTTCGCAGACCTCACACACATCCTTACTGAGCTAGCGCGTGACTACAAACGGCATAGGAGCAGCGCCGATGCTCTTTCTGGGCCGTCTGCGACCGCAGCAATATCATCAGCAACGAGTTCGACGTCTCCTGCAGTGCCATCATCGCCGATAGTCTCGAACCCTGCGACGCCTTTTGTCTCCCCACGCCAAGCGAATACCCTCGTAGGACCCCCAAAAGCACCTACCACTCCTTTCACATTTGGAGGAGTACCTGCAGGCTCCTCTTCCACCACATCGACAGCAGACCTCAAACCCACACTACTTCCGGGGCAGCCAACTTTTTCTAGCCCATCAGGCGGCTTTTCATTCGCAGGCAAGAGCTTTGGAGCCCCTGCTCAAGGTGATGCACAGGCAAGCGAAGGCGCCGTGAAAACACCTAGCAACTCTTCGACAAATGCCTCATCATTCGTCTTTGCGCCTGCCGCAGCAGCGAAAGAGGTATCTACGACGGTCACGAAGGGAGATGGGGATGTATCACGGGCAGAAGGCAGTCGGGCAGAAGGGGCTACCAGTACCACCAGAATCCAACCCGCTGCCTCGCCTTTCTTTGGCTTTGGCCAAGCACATTCAGGCAGCGCGAAGGGCGCAGCCACCCCCCACTCTAAGAGTGCAGCTGGCGGCTCAAATGTTCAAAACACGTCATCAGACAAGCCGATTTCTTTTGGAAATTTCAACAAGAGCGGCATGTTTGGATCTGGATCCTCGAGTACCCCTGCTACTCATGACTCTGCGACCGAAGATGCCGCAATCAAACCGATATTCGCCTTCGGATCCGCTCCAGCAGCGATATCTACTCCGACGTCATCAGCGACCTTCGGCTCCGGCTCAGTGTCGACCACCAATCCTGTCAGCACTCCGTTTTCGTTCGGCGCGAAAGCCGCCAATGCTGCGGAGTCTGCTTCGGGCTCGAGCGCCAGCAAACCTGCGGCGGCTTCTCCGTTCGGTTTTGGCTCTGCGTCAGGATCGTCCTCGAGCAACAATCTGCGCTTCTCGTTCGGTTCCTCCTCCGCCTCTTCTACGGACCCCTCAAAAATCAGTACGAATGCAGCGCCCAATGCGGGAGCAAGCAAGTCAACATTCTCTTTTGGAGCGTCCAGCAGTCCCTCTGCGGGAGGTACCGGATATGCGGCCACGGGCAACACAAAACCCGGAGGGTTTCAATTTGCCTTTGGCAAACCATTGGCTTTTGGAGGATCTGAGCAAGGCTCTGCCGACAAGGAGGATGACAATGACAAAGCGGACGACAAATGACATTCGCCATGCATCCCTTTCTCTCAGGGCTTTCGAGACTGTGCCGATTTGCGGATCTCGGAGCTCGCTTGTAGAGTTCGTCTTGCCCCGATGCTGATTTACCAACACCTACGCGGCCACCCACTTATTTACCCTCCATCCCTCGTCTGTTCAGCAGCCTGACGCTTTCTGCAGCCTCATCGCTCAATGCATTCGTGGCGCAAGTGTCTTCGTTGATCGTGCGATTGCTGATGGTCTCATTCGTCTGCGATCCTTTGAACGAGAGCAGTGTGGGTGTTGCCTTCAGCTTCACGAGCAACTCATCAGTTCGTGATTCGTGATTGGAAGTATTCCACAGTGGACATGAGGTCGAGCAGATTGAGTCACGTGCAGGGCTGATTTTGGGCACAAGCTTCGAGCCGTCGCCCTGCAGGCAGCCGGCAACATCACGCAGCGGGAGGGGCTCTGCAGCTGAAGAAGCAACGGTGCATCATTATGCATGAAGATGGACCCAGCTCACGCGCGACTGTGACTCGCTGACTTGATTCACCATTCGTGCTTGCTAGCCTTGCGCCTCGATCGCGATCCCATGCAAGCTCATACAGTCACGTATATGCGGCAAGCTGCGCCAAGGGACTCGCAAAGCTGACCGTTGATCGAAACGCCGGCATGAGATGGTGCACCCCGCAGCTCACGAAGTCAAGTGTGAGTGATCTGCGTTCTGCATTCACATTGCAGCAGCGAGAGGGCTACATTGAAGATTTGTTAGAGGAGGATCCGAGCGATTGTCGATCGAGGAATGGTGCAGGCAGGCTCCAATCATGAATGCGAATATCTTTGTGGAAGTGTGGAAACGCGGGTAGGCACGACACCTAAGCGCGTCACACAATGCAGCAGCAGGGTGCGCTTGCGCTTTGTATAGTGCGTGATGGCACGTAACATACCTCAAACCTGACTCACGACGATTGAGCCTTGCAATTTGAGTGACCACCTTCTGACCCTACATCTACCAACCCTCCTGATCACCACCTACGTTCGGCATCATTCGTAGTGCTATCAGCCTGTCTGCCTGCGTATCACGCTCAAGTCTTTGGTCGCTTCACCACTCATCGCCGAGCCGATAGCACCCTGATCTTCACACCTCGTTCGCCCGCTTGCGCAGCGTTTGATCCTAATCCCAGTTCGACTCCGACTGTGAACCATCAGCCGACCGCTACTGGCCATCGACACTCTGGCGTTACGCTTCGGACTCAAAAGCTCTGATCTTTGCCACCGCACGCGCTCGAGAAGCCTGCTACAAAATGGCCAATCCAGCTCCTCAGTCCAAGAGGGGCTCCGTGACTTCGCTCGCCACTTCAGAGAATCCGAGTGCACCTGATGGTGAGTTCCATGTCGCTTCATAACTTCTCGATTCATGAAGTGGGTTAGTGTTGTGCTCCTGGCTTCAAAAGCGCGCAGGCTGGCGAGGCAGTCGTACAGACGAATCCCGCAGTCGTTCTTGTGACTCTAGGAAGGTGGAGAGCGACGTGGAGCCATGTTCATTTGGTCGAGTCGTGCGACCCTTCACTGTGTGGGGGCATCTCGAGCGCGATGTCCGTGCAGGAGCCCAGGCCCTTCAGACACCACCGTGTGCACGCTATGTGTGCCACACACTGTGTCAAATCGCACTCGAAATCAGACGGTGCTGGGCTTCCTCTTTCTTCAGAAATGGCAAGTGCCTTGACGAGACTTGATCGTCGCGCAGCATCAGCCACTCTTGTCTCGAGGCTACAGGTTGGGTGGAGAGGAGAGGCAATCAGACCGCAGGCTGGGCGGAGTTGCGGCTCATCAGCTGGCTGTAATCGTTGATCAACGTCACCAGTCTATCCCGTGTTGTGACATGGAGCCCCCAAGACTCCGCTGGGCCGCTGAAGAAGTCAGATCGCGGAGGGGGCCTCCTGTTCCTGTTGCTGTATCGCCCGTAATAGACACACACACAGCTGCTGGGTGCCGTTGCGCAGGTTTCCCGCAATCTGCAACTTCAACCTGCGCTCAGAACCCGCACAGCTGGGCTTGATCGAAGCGCCGATGAGCTGTGCGGAGCGCGTCATGCGCGAGTTCATCCCACCTATACCGGCCATCTGCATGCTGCATGCAACTCAGCGCGCGCGTGTGCTCGAAGGAGCGTAGCGAACCGCGGGCGTCTTTGTGCACCATGCAGCTTAAACATCATTGGAGATTTCGACAGTGGTCAAAGTCCAGAGTCTAATTCCCGGTTTGATTTCAAGTCCCGCAATTTGTATTCCATGGATGTGGAGTTACTAAGCCCAGACCCGCCCATCGTACTCGGCCTCGGGCGTAAAGCCTCATGCTTTGCTGCTTGCTGCTGCTTGCTTCACACTGCATCATCTATTTTGGACCGATTTGGCGCGCACGGTCTGCTGGACCCGGGAGGCCCTCTCGCTCGTCAGAATGCACGTTTGCGCATCGTCTCACCAAAACGCGATCGAACCTCGATGCGGTCGGCAGCAGCGCGCTCATAACAGTCGTGCATTTCGTGGCGTTGGTTCGATCTCACTGTCACTGGATAGGCTCGCGGTCGAAGTTTCAAGTCTTCTTCTTCATCTTTCGATCCAAACCACACGCAAGCCGCCCTTCCCAAAGCCCCACACCAGCTGGTAGTGCCGCGGCGCACTAGAAGCCGCAGACAGAATTGCTTTCACCTCGTGATCCGAGCGTCCAGTTGTCGCACAGCCTTCTTGCACCATGCCAACGCTGCGGTCTAGAGCCTCTTCAGGCTCGCTGAAGCTGAAGCGCGCAGCTTCTGACGCTCGTCATCGCGCCATGTCATCCGTCTCTTCAATCAGCTCAGTGGCCCGTCTGCCGTTCTCCCAGACTGACGAACCCGTGCCTGCTGTCCCTCCCACCTACTCTGCCGACACTTCGATCTCAAACGCTTCTATGGACGATGAACGCATGACCGGATCGTCGTTCCCATTGCGGACTGATGACGACGCCGCCGGGCCTTCCGTACATGACCCATCATCATCGTCCACTCGCGACAAATCTCCATCGAATGGCGTTGCTGGTCCGCGTGCTTCGCGCGCCGTCTCTGCAGTCAACGAGACGGTCTACTCATTCCGTTTGCTGGAAGCCTTGCGTAGTGGTGAGTTCACTTCAGTGGCAGGTTAGGGTTGCTGCCACTACAAGCTGATAGGCCTCGCCCATGCGCGTTTCCCTGTCTTCAGGAAACCAGACCGAGCTGCACCCTTTCCTCACCAAGGGTGCAGCGCGAGGCGCCGCTGTCAAGGAGCTCACTAGTCCGCTACACTTGGCTGTGCGATGTGCCGAATGTGAGTCACGTTCGTAAGGGCGTGTGGGGCAGGTCAAGACAGCTCACGCTGCATTGCATCCTTGATAGACCCAACCATCGAGCTCTGTCTGGAGTACAAATCGGCGACGCTAAATGCAAAGGACTCCATCAATGGCAATACGCCCCTGCACCTTGCCAGTAGCGTAGGAAGGGCAGACGTCGTGCAGCTGTTCTTGGACCAAGACGATGTGGACGATACCATCACGAACAATGAGGGTAAGGAACCTATGTCTGTCGCCAAGACGCTTGAAATTGCGCAGATATTTCAAGGTGTGTCTGGCGTCGCTTTACTTGCTAGCTGCGAAGCATGGTGGCTCATCAGCTCTGTATCCTCTCAACTTCACAGTCTCGCGAGCTGAGCTTAACGTCAAGTACTTGCAGACTCTCGAAGCATTTGAGCGCGATCAGGTGGGATCAGACGAATTGCTCGCCTTGCTCGACAGGCCCAGGGTCAAGGCAATCGACTTGAACGCGCAAACCAGACTGTCTGGCACTACCTTGCTGCACGAAGCTGTTCGCAGAAAGGACCCCAAACTCATCGAGACGGCGGTCCGCAAGGGTGCGGACATCTTCTGCCGCAATCGAAAGGGACGCCGGGCGGTGGAGACGACCAAGGACGAGAAGATCAGAGCTCTGCTACAGCAGCTTTCGAATGCGGACGCTGCGCGGGCTGTGCAGCAGTCTGCAGCAGGTTTGCCACCGATCTTCCGTGGCTACCTTGCCAAGTGGACCAACATTGCCGGCGGATACAAGACTCGGTGGTTCGTCCTCGAGAACGGTATCTTGTCCTACTACCACACGCAAGAAGAGGAGGGCAAACAATCGAGGGGTTCGACCAATTTGCGATTCGCCAAGATTCGCGCGGACACCAACGACAAGCACCGATTCGAGGTGCATTCCGATGCGTCGCGCGGGTCAGCTTCAAAGCTCTTCTTGCGGGGTTCGCATCCTATCGAAAGAGCTCGATGGGTGCAGGTGCTTCAACAGACCGTAGACTTCTTCGAAATGGAGCGCGCTCCCAGCAGATCCGACTCGCATAGCGCCCAAAGCGTTCGCGGGTCGATCAGAACACCGTCCACGACCAGCTTGCTGGACAACACATCTACATCCCATGTTCCTGCCGGCACAAAGGGCGTGCCAGGAGGAACCGTGTCAGTGCCATCTAGGACAGGCACGCCATTCCGCAATATCTCCATGGCGGCTACTCCTACGATTCCAGAGGGCGGTCAGCCTGCTCTTGTAGCGCCTGTGCCACGGGCAGCTCCTGCAGGCGGCATACTAGAGCGCAGCGACTCGAGCACTGGCGGTCGGGCGCCCTCCGTTCGTTCCTTGCAGGTCGGGCGCACACCCAGCCTCGCCAGCCTAGGATCCCATACACCATCCGACGAGAAGGAGGCGGAGCTCGGCAACGACGTAGACAATGATGATCGGCCTCGCGGTATCCCCTACGAAGACTCGATTGCTTTACTCAGCACCAACCTGCGGACCCAGGTTGAACTCGCGCACCAGCTTGCGAGCAGCTTGAATGCTCCTCCTGCAGCATCGATCACACAGTCGCCCGACCGCACAAGCTTCATGTCGACACGCGCGGCTTTCTCAGCTAGTCCGGAAGGCGTGCGCGACGCTTTGCAAGATGCTATCAAGAACAGCGCTAGCCTGCTAGCTCGCTACCAAGAAATCGTATCGGAGCGGGAAGCTTACTTGCTGCGGCGTTATGAACAAGAGGTGAGTGGAGATGTTGATCGCGTGCAGACGCTGAGTACGTACTCACCCGACTCTTTTGGTCCCACAGATACAAGCCAAGCGGTTGTGGGAAGAGAACATGCGCGTTCTGGCGCAGCAGCATGCGGACATGGAGCGCCAGCTTTCGGAAGCTGTAGAGGAGAATGCTCGACGTCGCAAGGCACTTAGGGGCATGAGGGACGTCATCGCCAGCTCGCCCGCCGGCACCATCTCGAGCCCACGTGGTGGAGTTGCTTCCCCTATAGGCGCAGACACGTTTGCATCACCTCAGGGTTCTTTGGCTCTTCGTCGGCAAGGGGCCGAGGGCGCTCTTCAGCTTGGCGAGTCGGTGCCGGCGCCTCTTTCGGGCCCAGCTGCTACCCTAGACAGCCTGCTTTCTGAAGACACCGCGCAGGACGCCGATGACGAATTCTTCGACGCGATCGACAATGACAACCTGCCCGGCCTTGTCGTGGAAACGCCTCTGGTGTCCGCAAAAGACGCGCGAGAGGATGCGACGTGGCCCAAGGAGTTTGACTCGAAGCGCATCGATGAGGATGCTTACGAGCCCTACAAGCGCTTGCGCACAAAGCTGCCCATTGGCCACGACGAGAGACCTAGTGTTTCTCTGTGGGCTGTGCTCAAAAACAACATTGGCAAGGATCTGACGAAGATCACATTTCCCGTCGCTTTCAACGAGCCTACATCGATGCTGCAGCGAATGGCGGAAGACCTAGAGTTCCCTGGCTGTCTAGATGCCGCGGCCTCTTCATCCGAGTCTTCGAAGCGTCTCGCTTTCGTAGCAGCGTTTGCAGCATCGAATTACTCCAGCACCATTGGTCGCATTGCCAAACCGTTCAATCCGATTCTGGGAGAGACCTTCGAATACTGCTCAGCCGGCAGCAGTCCATACCGCTACGTCAGTGAACAAGTTTCGCACCACCCGCCTAAATCTGCATGCTTGGCCGAAGCACCGTTATGGAATTATATGGGCAGCGTCGACGCGAAGTCAAAATTCACTGGCCGCAGCTTCGAGATCACGCCGACTGGTGTTGCTCATGTGGAACTCAAGCTGCCTACAGAGTACTGCAAGAACGCGGTGAAGCCACTTCCAGCTGCAAAGGGTATGGTCGAAAAGCGCGTGGTGGAACATTACAGCTGGAGTAAGGTCACGACGGTTGTGTCTGGCTTCTTGACCGGTTCAATCACCATCGATCATGTTGGCACACTGGTGGTCAAGAACCATGCAACCAATGAAAAGTGCGAGCTGAACTTCCGCCCACGCGGTTGGAGAGGAGGTAACGCATGCGAGATCCGTGGAGCAGTTTACGATGCTGCAGGTCAGGTGCTCTGGGACATCGCAGGCAGGTGGAGCACCCAGCTCGTTGCTCGTAGACGTGCTGCTGGGCAGGCGGACCTGAATCCGGATGAAGACATCGGACATGGTGGTACTGGAGCCGAGTACGTTCTGCTCTGGCGCAACAATCCCAAGCCTCCTGCGGCCTTCAACCTCACCGCATTCGCTGCTACTCTGAACTCCTTGCCTAGTGGGCTTGAGACGTGGTTACCGCCTACCGACTGTCGCCTCCGACCAGACTTGTCTGCAGTGAGTTTTCCGAACCGGCTTCATGCAGACCGAGTTTGAGCTGATCGTGTGTGTCTCATCTGATCTGCAGTTCGAGAGCGGACGCTTCTCTGAAGCTGACGTGCTCAAGGGCAAGCTGGAGGACCACCAAAGAGCAACACGTCGCAAGAGAGAGGCTGGTGAACTACCACCTCACAAGCCCCGCTGGTTCAAAGAGATCATCGAGCCAGACTCGGGAGAGTCGATGTACGAAGCTTTGAGAATTCAGGGTGCCAGTGGAGAGCCTGAGGCCGAGTACTGGGCGGAACGTTCGCGCGTCGGCAAGGAGCGGGTGAGCGGCGACAAGGATGCTGCCTGGAAGGGCGCCGATCCCATCTTTGGCGATCTCACCGCCTCCCGGGCTAGACCATGACAGCCCGTCCATTGTGCGCTGCGCGAAACCTTACACGAATGCGTCCGAAATGCTCTTGCACCCCTCACATACCTCTTAATTCGCTTCTAGAATGCTTCATTGAGACTCCGGCCGAGCGCCTCGCGTTCTTGTCCCTCTATACCTCTATATACACTCGGTGCCAAGCGCTCTGCACGCGCTTTCAAACCAATAACGCTGTGACTGAGATTACAGCGCACAGCTCCACACAATCGGCGTGCGCGCGACGCGGAAGTCACAACAGTGATAGTTTTCTAGGGCCAGCGCAGATCAAGCATCGTGATGAAGCTTGGCTCAGCTTCTTGATCTCCTTCATGATCGCGGACTGAATGATGATCTTCTCCATGTGACGATAGGCCCGTGCCGGGCATCAAGGTCCGAGAGAACCAAGCTAATGCAGCTAGCCCACCCCCCTTCTACAGGCACGCGGGGGGTTCAGCTGCAGTCGTGAGGGATGACTGATGCATACCTATATATATGCGGCTCAGGAACATTCGCCAATTTCACCGTTCGTCATTCGTTGCATGGTTCTGCCTGCTGGCTCTCCCTGCAATGACAAATTCAGGCACGGCCTCAGATTGAATGAGGAGGCGAGTAGTGTTTGGGGAGGGGAACGCAACGACGCGATTGCACCGTGGGTTCGCGTAGACGCGATCGAGCAATTGCCCTGCTGCTGTTCCGCGGCAAGGGGCGCGGCGGGGCGCAGACAGCAAAATGTCAATCAAATGCATTGTGATTCCTTGAGTTGTTTGTGTTCGTAAATATGAGCGTCATCGACGATGCTAATGTCATTTCATTTGCCGGCCGGTAGCGCAGAGGAGGAGGAGGCTTGCATCTTGTTCGTAGAGGCAAGCGGCGGAAGAGCCAAAAGTTGTCCGTGCTGTGCTTGCTCGATCTCACCCACTGCCGACTGCTGACCCACAAAGACGTGCAAAGTACGGGCGGGCGGGCGCGGTGCGGCGTTTAGCCGTGCGACGTCCAGCATCCATCATGCAGAGAAGATCTCGACGTGGTTCTGTTGCAGCACAGGGTCAGCCTACGGCACAGCAGCTAGACTCACCGAATTGCTCCAACGGGTACGGCAATGACTACGACTTTGATGCCGTGCCGGCATAGCTACACCGGCACCGCAGACAATCATCAGCTCTTGCATGTACCTACCGTATTCCGCTGTGAGTATACCGACACCCGCGGAAATTATAGGCGATCTACCTTGCAACGCATGCTCCTTCGCGCTTCAAAGAGCTTCACAAAGGCATCCGGAGCAAGTCTAAGCGCTCAGCTTTGCAAAGCCAGAGCGGCAGGGTGTTTTCTTTCTCTTTGGCTTGCACGTCGTGCTGAAGGGTGGTGCTGGTACAGCTGTGTGTATGCGGTAATCGCGCGCAGACTGACAGAGCATCGATTCAGTGTGCGGATCATCTCCTACGCCCGACGCGGCCCCACCAATGTGCACGGGTCCGTCAAGGCAAAGTGACGATCGAGCCTCTTTCTCACAGCATCGCTCGCTGATCGGAGATCTGATCGTCACGATCTTCATCATGCCCGTTTCACCGCTGTTCTATCGGTATCGATACTTCATTAGACAGCTCAGGCTGTGCTCCCTTCGTCATCTCAGGCTGTCCGAGCAGCCTCTAGCAACCTCTGCAACGTTTCAACATGCCGCCTCCGCGAAAGATAGTCCTTGCGCTGCTCGGCTGCGTGCTCGTCGCGGTACATGCTCAAGCTGGGAAAAGGCATTTCGCTGAATTGCACCGTCGATCAACCGAAGACGTGAGTCTGACTTCCCTGTTCGACCAGCTCGGCATCAAGCTTCCATTCTTGGGCGCCGTCCCCTCTGGCGGAGACCGCGGTTCCCTCTCCTTCGACTCTGACAACTCCAATGCAGCCGACGCCGACAAAGTTGCACGGGCTGCGCTTCGACAAGCGGAAAGGGCGCTCGACGGAGCGCATAAGGAGCTGGAAGATTCGCTGCATTTCCCGTTGCGCAAGCTTCCAGGCAGCCATCGCATCGACGCATCTGCCCTGTCACTGCTCCATGCACGTCAAGATCAGCAGAGCATCATGGCGCCCTTTGCCGACGGAGGTGTTGGATGGGTCGAATCTTTCAGGATAGCGCAAGGCCTCGTTGGCAAGATGACGCTAGAGGAGAAGGCGAACATGACGGCGGGTGCGAATGGCCCGTGCATCGGCTCTACCGGCTCTGTTCCCCGTCTCGGCATTCCTTCGCTCTGCTTCAGCGACGGACCCACGGGTGTGCGTCAAGCTCTGAACGTCTCCCAGTTCCCAGCAGAGGTGACTGTTGGGGCTACTTGGGACCTTGAATTGGTTGGCAAAAGAGCCAGGGCAATAGCTGAAGAATTCAGAGACATCGGCGTCAATGTCATGTTTGCTCCAGTCACCGGTGGACCTCTTGGTCGCAGTCCGCAAGGAGGTCGTAATTGGGAAGGTTTTGCTACGGATGAGTACCTCACCGGACGAGCTTCTTATGTGAGCGTCAAGAATGCGCAAGCTGCCGGCATCGTGGCGGGAGCCAAGCATTTCATCTTCTATGAGCAAGAAACCTCCAGAAATGTCAGGACCATCTTGCCGGTCCTTCAGCAGCCTATCGACTCTGTGGTAGATGACAAGACGGCCCACGAGCTCTACATGGTGCCCTTTGCTGAGGCCATTAGGGCTGGAGCGGGGCAGATCATGTGCTCCTACAACAAGATCAACGGCACCCACGCTTGTGAGAGCTCGAAGAGTCTCGCGGGGCTCTTGAAGACCGAGCTGAATTTTCAAGGTGAGCTCCTGCGCGATTTGCACAGGCCCAATTCATGCTGACACCCTAGACTGCCTCTAGGCCACGTCGTCTCTGATTATGGAGGAGCATGGAGCGACTCCACCGTTGGATTGGACGTGCTCATGCCAGGCGATGGTCTCTACGGAGTTCAACCGAACTTCTTTGGCTCTCACGGCTCGAAACTGATCGAAAACGTCGAGAGCGGCAAGCTGACTGAAAAGCGTTTGGACGACATGGTCATTCGTCTGTTGACACCAATCTTGCAGTACCAAGGTGGTGATTTGAGCAAGCTTCTGCCGAATCCTGATCAGCTCAATGTCAAGCCTGCCGGCAACAAGAATGTCCAGGGAGACCACCATCAGATCATTCGCCAGATTGGAACTGAGAGTCTGACCCTCTTGAAGAACACCGTGGATGGCAAGACTAGGTCTGGTGGTGCCACTGGATTGCCGCTTGACCTGAACACAATCAAGAGGAGTAGGTGATCTGCTCTGTATGTCTAACGCTTGGCTTGCAACTCTGCTGACACGAGCCCGACGCCCGACTGTGCCTAGTCGCGGTATCAGGTCAAGATGCTGTGTCCTCTCTGGACAATCGTAAAACTTGCAACAAGTGAGCCCAGGTGTCGCGTGCGCAGGGACCTGGATGCAGTGAGGTATGGGCTGACACTTTCACTTCTCAAGTCTCGGCGAATGTGTCTTGAAGGATTTTCAAGGCGTTGTCACTACTGGCACGGGATCCGGTTCCACCACTCCGCCCTACATTATCGATCCTCTAGCTGCCATTCGGAGCTACATCGCCAAAGCGGGCAAGAACAAAGCAGTGACAGTCACTAGCTCACCCAACCCTTTCGTCTTCCTTGGAGCAGTGTGGGAGGCGAAAAACGCGGATGTCGCCCTCGTCTTTGTGAGCGCTACGGCTGGAGAGTCGAGCGACCGTAACGCGGATCTCAGACTCGACCACAATGGCGAAGATCTCATCAAGGCGGTCGCCGCTGCCAACAATAATACCAGTGAGTGTGCTTCGTGTTGCTTGCCATGTCCTTGCTAGTGTGTCTCGACGTGTTGATGTTATGCACCGTGCTGTTGCGTAGTTGTGATCATCCACGGTCCAGGTCCCGTTATTGTTGAGGATTGGATTGATCTGCCAGGCATTCGCACCGTCTTGTACGCCTACTACCCGGGGCAAGAAGCCGGCTCATCTCCCACACCTGTTCTCTTTGGAGATGTATCGCCGTCCGGCAAGGTGAGTAAAGCCTCACGCACGGCATAGCGCAGGGAGCCTCACATGCCCTTGCCTCTTTCGCGCACGGCAGCTTCCTTTCGTGATGGCGAAGAAAACTTCAGACTGGCCCGCCAACACCCTTGTCAAGACGTTGAGCCTGAACCCCAAAGCGACATTTGATGAAAAGCTACTGATCGATTGGCGTTGGCTGGACGCCAAGAACATCGCTCCGCGCTTTCCCTTCGGCTTTGGTCTCTCCTATACCACCTTCTCTTATGGAGAAATGCAAGCCAAAAAGCAGTTCAAGGCGGACTCGACATCCATCCAAAGGACAAAGGAACCCTTCGCCAGCTCGGTTTCGCCCGGCGACTCTCTGTACGACGAGCTCTTCAGCGTGAACGTGCCCATCACCAACACGGGCAATCGCACAGGTAAAGAGGTGGTGCAGCTCTACTTGTCGTATCCCGCTTCTGCCATAGAGCAACCTCCTCACGTGTTGCGCGGATTCGCCAAAGTGGAAATCGCGGCAGGCCAAACTCGAACCGTCAGCATGCAGCTTACAAGGAAAGACTTGTCCATCTGGGACGTGGTGCAGCAGAAATGGGTCATCCCGCAAGGCACCTTTACGCTCTTTGCAGCAAAGAGCAGTGCCGACTGGACCAACGCCAAAAAGACCAGTTTCACTGTCTGAGTTGATGTCTGATCATGCTTGTCCGTCAGGTGCCATTGTTGCACTGCTCATTTCGCTCCATACCAGCTGCCTTCTTGCACTTCTGCCTAATGCATACATGACCTCCATCGTACCCAATCAGTCCGCTCCGAAGAATTTTGAATTGACCTAGCGATGTGCGCTCATCTGTCAATTTAGCTACCATGTCACGTCTAGCGACCTCGATTCAAGACTGCTTTGGAATAGTTCCGATTCGAATTCCGATGAAAAGAAGCGACAATCTACTGAGGTTGAGGAGCGTAATGATAGGGCGGTTGTTGCTGTTGGTGATGAGTTGGAGGCAGGGAAGTCTGATGCGGGTAATGATGACCGGAAGGCGGCGGAGGAGGGGCGCCGTGCTGTTGAGGGTACATCTGTTGGTACGAAGCATGGGACTGGGTGGGAGGCGGATGATTCTGCATCTCATGAGATGGCGGATGCGGAGCTGCATATACTGCTCCAGGAGGCGGAGTAGGCGGAATGTAGACTCCTGGGGGCGCTTGAACCGGCAGACCTGGCGTCGGAGCACCCTGAGGTGGAGGCGGAGGCGGAGGCCAACTTTGAGCGCTGGCTATCGGAGGCTGCCCATATATGTACTGGCCCGGTGCGGCTACTCCACTTTGTATGCCGTACTGGGGTGCCTGTTGAGGCGACTGCGATCGGGGGAGGGGTGAGCACAATGACTTCGCAGCGGATTCGGGGCTTTCCGCCAAAGAGCTCACCGGAACGTAATACTGCTGCACAGGTGGCGGATGGTGATGTGACTGTGTACCATACTCGGTCGGAGGCGGTTGTGTTGACGGAAGAGGCCGATGAGCCATAGAGGGAGGCGAAGAATGAGTTGACATGGCGAAGAACGATTGAGGCGGTGGCGGCGGGGCGTAGATGGTGCTTTGTGTCGTTGAGTGAGCTATCGAAGGTGACGGCGATGAGGCACGCGGTGGCGGAGGGGCGGGAGGTTGGCTCAGATGCGTTGAAGACTGATAAAGTGACCTGCGTGTAGTGAGAGCAAGATGGTTGTGGGAAGGTACAGCGCAACGGCACCACAACGTTAGCGTACTCACTGTGCGTTGACCACAGAAGCTGTCGGCGGTGGTGGAACGTTGGGCAAAGCGTGGTAGCTTGCCGTGGAATGAGGACGAGGCGCAGGAGAGGGTGCTCGAGGCGGTTCATAGCCTTGCGAAGGCTGAGATGGAGGGGGCGGAAGACCAGCTTGAGGATGGTAGTTCGGATGCTGCTGTTGCTGCTGATGTTGCGACGGCGGCGGTGCGGGTGGTTGTTGTGGCTGCGAGTATCCGTACGCTTGGGTATAAACCTGTTGCGGCTGTGGTGGGTCTTGCAAGTAGGCATGACCCGGAGGAGCCGAAGAAGGATGTGTTGGTGGTGTCGGCGCTACGGGTGGCGGATATGCGTATGCCTGTTGATGCTGTTGCGGAGGCCCAGGCTGGCCACTGTACGCGTACGGCGAAGGTGACTGTGGCGGGGCAGGTGCACCAAGGGGACTAGGTGTCGGTTGTGGCGGGGCCCAGTGATTACTTGGCGTAGGTGGTGGCAAGGGTCTCTCAGCTAGATTCGACACACTACCGAAGCTCATCGAGCTCATAGGCCGCAACAGCTCATCGGCCAAATCACCTCCTTGCCAATGCTGCGCACCAGGCCGCAGGGTCGCTGTAGAGCCCGTCGAGGAATTATGACCACTGGCAGAGTAAGGGATGCTGCTGATGGCGTCGCTTGAATTTTGTTGGGCGTGATGGCTGGTTTTTGTTGGCGGATAAGAGCCGGTTCGGAAGGTAGCGGAGGGATCCTGAGCGCGTGATGGAGGCGCAGGCGAGGGCGCTCGCATGGTAGATGGCGCGTATGGGGGCGTGTATGCGCTGATCTGGGCTAAGCTTGAGCTTGGCCTCAGGGTCGAGGGAATTTCATCAGTGGTCGAGCTGAAGGAGCCAAGATCGCCATGTGTCCTTGAGTGGCTCATGGTGGAAGCTGCACTTGATTGCGCCTCGTGTCCAGTTCCCGGTCCGCTGAAGCTTGCCCTGCCCGAGCGCATGGACGATGGAATTGGGGCGTGGCCGCTTGTGTTCGCTGCAGCCTTCGCAGGTAGTCTAGGAGCCACCTCAAATTCGTCGTCAATGTCTGCGACGAAAGTACCAGCTCCTCCATAAGTGCCATTACCAGAGACCACTGGCTTCGCTGCCTTTTTCTTCCTAGGCGGAGCGGCCTGCAAGACACGGCCCGAAGTCCCAGTCAGCATCGCGCCGATTGCAGCTTCCTCTGCTGCGCTGTATGGTACTCACAGATGAGTAAAACGTAAGTTCGAGGTAGACCTCTCCCGCATACCGATCTTTTGCTTTGATGGTAACCCATTCTGCCAAATTTGTGAAGCAGCGTTGATACAGCCGCATCCATGAGTACACATCGCTCGTGCGATCAACACCAGAGTAGCACCTGCCAGCCCGACTCACCGTCAAATTCACCCGTTTTGAGCGTTTCCGTCAAGTCTATCATGCCCTCGCCAATGAACTCGGGCTCGTTCTTGTCATCAGCATAGCAAGTCACTTTGAGCGCCTTGTTGGAGGTCGCTTTGCCCTTTTTGGCCGTGGAGGTCGACGAGCCTGCCTTGAGCGTAGCATTCGCGTCTACATCCCCGTCTCCCGCAGTCCTCTTCAACATATCTTCCACATCTTCGAATATCTCGAAATGCAGCTGAGAATCCCAAACCGGATGTTGGCCTCCCTTCTTGTCGGGATCGGTCTTTTGAGTTTCTGAGCCCAAAGTCAAGACGCAGTAGGGATCTTGTTTGCCGATGCTCCGCTTATTTGGAAGATTCTTGGCCTTCAAGACGACGCAGACCAGCGTCCCGCGGTGTCGAGGCTCCGCAGCCGAGGTCATCTTGAATCGAGTTCGGGGAAGCTAGTGATCCGTGTACTTGCCGATTCAAGTGGCAGTCTGGGACAGAGCGTTCTGAGCGTCCAGATGTAGCTGTTCCGATCTCCCAAGGCAGCAACCAAAAACCCTTCGTGTGAGCAGCGACGCGAGCTTTGCTCTGCTACGTGGCGGCCTCCGCGGAATATCGAGAGCTCATTCGTCGAGGTTAGAGCAACCTGGCAGCGGAGGTGCTGGTGAGAGTATCAGTCTGCCGGGATTGGGAACAGTGTAGGAAGCTGTGTAGGTATTCTGAAGCGACGAGAAGGCAGGCTGAGCGAATGCTCGCTGCAGAGTCAGTCCACAGCAGTCACGAATGACGTCCAAGTCCTTCGATGCTGGTCGGCGGCAGCATGGTTGGTTGGCTGGTTCACCGCCGCGGGAACACAAATCCAACGCGCGCGCGCGTGTCTCAAGGGGCTGTGTCGGTTGACTAACAGGCATTTACGAAAAGACGTGAAGGGCTGTAATTAACGCGTTCAATGCATGCGGCTCGACTTAACGATCCTTCTCTCCTTCTAATCAAATTCTATGCGACCTCAGATTTAAGTCCCCGAACATCCAAAGCGTGCGCCATCATCGTTGCCAAGCCACACAAATCGAGCTGCAGCAGCAGCGCCTCGATCGTCACAAATCCACATTCTATAATGCCCCCGCCCCGCAATGGTCAATGAACGCTCCTGGAGGAAGCAAGAAGACCATTCTAGTCTTCAGAGTCTCGTTGAAAGTTCACTCCGTGAATTTGAGTCGCAACCGTCACAAGTCTTGAGTGTGACTTACAATCATAAGTAGTCAGAGTCTCGAAAATTGCAACATGAGCGGCGGCTGCACCAATGCAGCACCGCGCACGTGAGCTCATGAAGAAGCGCACGGGGCGCGATGCAGCAATGTGAATTGAAGTCGGACAGACTCCCAACTGCATGGCTGCGCGCATCGCCCAGCGCTTCTGAGCTGGAATTCCGCTGATTGTGATTATGAATTACGTCAAGAATCAGAATCCTGAATTGAATCCAATCTGGATGAGAATCGAAAGCAGGCGGCTCTGTAAGAGGTGATTAAGCGACAAGAGCCAAAGACGACCGACCGACCATCTTTGACGTGATCGAGTGCTTGACCGCAACTGCTTGATCGCAACTGCTTGACCTCGTTCGACAGCCTTGGAAAGGGGTTCGGCTGATCCACACGTTCAAACCACGCTCAACCACGAGGAAGAAGGGGATCTACCATGTCCGACGCTGGTCCCAGCACAGTGACGCTCCCTCTGCTGCATTTCAACGATGTCTACCGGCTGCGTCAGACAGACAAGTCATTGGGTGGCGATGGTCGTATAGACGCTTCTCAATTCGCACGAAAGATTCACGATATACGCAAAGCATGGGATGGGGATCATGTAGGGCAAAGGCAGAAGTCCGACGACAGTCAACTGAACGGCCTTTGCCTGTTTTCGGGAGACGTGTTCAATCCCTCTGTGGAGTCGAGCATCAGTAGAGGCGAACATATGCTCGAACCTTTGGCTGCCATGTCCATCGATGCGGCCTGCATAGGCAAGTGAGTTCGGCAGTCCGTCATACAGTCTCACTGTCGGGAATCCTCTCATCGATCTCGCTCGCTCCCTTGTGCTTGTCCCTTGCTTGCTGTAGCCATGACTTTGACTTCGGGTGAGTGTTCATATTTTCAACATCTGGAGACGGTGCGGGCGCCAGACCTGACGTGGTGTGTACTCCCATAGGTTTCCTCATCTACGCAGCTTGATGAAGCGGTGTTCGTTCCCGTGGCACCTGTCCAATATCGCGGACACATCTGCAGATGAATCAGCTCGCGATGCGATATCCGACGAGCCTCAGGAGGGGGATGCCACTGTGCCTGGTACGACAAAGTTCACCATCATGCCTGTAGCGGGGCTTCGCGTCGCGATCATAGGTCTCGTGGAGAAGGAGTGAGTGTCTCGATCTCGCTCTGACGCATGCTTGAAAGGCCGGGCTTCCACTGCTGATGTAACTACCTTCCGATAGTTGGATCGAGACCATACCAGTTTGGCCTGCCGAGTTCAAGTACAGGTCAATGGCTGCGACAGCAAGAGCCTTGTCCAAAGAGCTACGAGATCCAGAAGGGCCACACAAAGCCGACCTCATCATTGCGTTGACGCATAGCAGGCTCTCCAACGACATCGCTTTGGCCAACGAAGTGGGTGCCACGCGTGGTGAATCGGATGAGCATGGTGTAGATATCATCCTTGGGTAAGTCGATTCTCTGAAGAGGGTAGCACTACATTGGAAGCTGGCTGATAGATCAGACTGTAATTCAGTGGCCATGACCACATGTACTACATTGGCAAAGGAGCCACCAAGTTTGAGGGGAAGGAATTTGAACGTCCAGGAGGATCCGGAGCGGACAATGACACCTTCATCATCAAAAGTGGCACCGACTTTCGTGATTTGAGTGAAGCCGCGCTTACTATCAGTGCGCCACGAGAGGGCAAGGTCAGGCGAAGAAGGATCACCGAACTCAGTGGTGGGTGTGGCGCACCTTTGATGTCAAGCGTTCAGATTGGATGCTAACATTCCGGTGCGCGACCCTGCAGTTCGGCGGCATCGCACGCAACCTTCAGATCCGCCTTTGCCGGAGCTGCGCGAAACTATAGGTCACTTACTTGCCAAGATAGATGAGAGCACAGGTCAGCCGGTAGCATACACCCTTACGCCATGGGACACTAGAGCAGGAGAAGTAAGACTTAAGGAGTCTGCGTGCGGGGACCTGTAAGTGACCTACAAGCTCTTCCCGCAGCTTCGCTTTGCTAAGCATACCATGTTGATTCAGGATCGCCGATATCATGAGAATATCTTACGAAAGCGTCCTTCGCGATCGAGATCGCCGAGGTCAGCTCGACAAAAAGCGCAAAGAGTCATCGAGGGAGGTGGACATGGCTTTGATTTGTGCGTCCTTGTTCGCCAAGCTTCGCGCCATTGACTCTGGCCTCAGGTCTGACACGATCTTCTTGTGCTTCTCTCACAGGTGGCGGTAGCTTACGCGGCGACTCGAGCTACGGACCCGGCAGTCTGCGACTGCGAGACATCATGGAGATCATGCCGTTCGACGATAGTGTAGTGTGCTTGGAGCTCACGGGAGCTCAGGTGAGCTGACACTGAGTGGCTCATCGTTGAGAGCAACTCATGAAGACTTCCCTCGTTTATATTGTAGATCATCGCTGCTCTAGAAAATGGCTTCTCCACGTATCCGAAACAAGAGGGCCGCTTTCCTCAGATATCTGGAGCTCAGGTCTTGTGGGATTCTACCAAACCGCCCGGCAAACGTATAGTAAGCGTTACGCTTTTGGAGGATGGCCATCTATTTCCCACAGACTCAGAAGGCAAACGGATGGCGAATCAGCCCTTCACGTCGTACGACTTCGAGAAACGCGAAGGCGGTGGGTATTCCGTTGAGATTCACCGCCCTAGGTTGAGGCCAGGCAAAGCACTCCAGGACGACAAAACCTATCGTGTGGTGACCAGAGAGTGAGTATTACGTCCTTGCGCACCAGCCTGTACATCCACTGACCTCTTATTTTCTGAGGCAGATTCATGGCAGACGGTCATGACGGGTACGAGGTGCTGAAAGCTGGAAAAGAACTCATCGGTCACGAGGAAGGCAGCCTGATGAGTGCACTTGTCAGAAGGTACCTTTTAGGTGCATCGATGCTTTGGCGCATGCGCAGTCTACACGATGCAGCAACGCATCGTGACACAGCCCGGGGCGACGGCGCCGGAACTGCGGGAGCAGTCGCGCAAGATGCCGACGAAGGGAAACGAGGACCGGCAGGTCCATCTAACAGCGAAAGGACCAAAGCTGCCATTGAGCGAGCACGATTGTTAAGCTCGAGAGGCACTCAAGGAGCAGCTCCTTCGACACCCGCCAAGGGCCGCAATGCGTTTGATGACAGGCACATGAGATTCGTCGTTGATGCCTCACCTTCCGGCATTCGGGACGCGCTCCATTTGTCCGCAGCAGAACATCACTCGCAGCACGACAGAGGTAAGAGGGGGACCATTGACGGCCACCTGCGCATACAGCACTAAGGGCTGAATGACTTCTTTCTATGGCCTTTTCAGTAACGCGACATCTTGCACAAGCATCCGGCAAATCACCTCGAGCGAGCTCCGGCTCATCGCCAGAAAGCCCATCGCGATCATCTGTCCTGCATTTACGGGCCCAACGACGGCGATTGCAACTCGGCCAAGACGCGTCGGAAGTTGAGCATGTCGGGGACCTCTCCGCCGACACGACGGTAGAGAAGCAGATTGAGGTGAGCGCGGATGATGCGCAAGATTTGAGAGAGGCCAGCGCAGATCTCGCCCTCGTTGCTCCAATAGTGGATGGAAGGATGCGGGACGTGGCGACGCAAGCTTAATCGCGCGGCAACAAGCATTAATTGGACGAAACGGGAATACATGCGTTGGCAAAGGCTCTCTAGGTGTGGTACAATTAGTGTGAAGTGCGAGTCTTTGATCGTGCATCAGAGAGCAGGGAGACGATTTGTGTGGGTCTATAAATGCAGGCTTCGCTTCTATACGGGCGAGAGGGCGTAACGACTCCACGATCGTATGCGCTTTCCGTACACGTAAAAGGCGAATGGGATGATGGTCATGACAATGGACAGGAAGCCGTAGAAGCTCAATGCCCAGTGAGTTCCAATGCCTGCAGAGATCCCACGCCGTCAGCCCAGACGAACTTCGTCAAATTTTGGACCTACGAGGCATGCACTCACTCATGAAGAGGGGACGTGTCCACATGATGGCGCCGCCGCTGATGATGTATCTGCAACAGGTGAAGCAGTTGAGCAGCTGTAGGCTTTTGTACGAGGTTTGCGAAAGCAGCGGACCTAGTTACTCACCTCAAGAAAGTCAGGCTTCCCAAAGCACTAGCGCTCCACACGTTGTACACATCGATGACGTATTGATAGCTGGAGATGAAGATGGACAGAACGCCAATTCCCCAGACAAGACCTGCGACGATGCAGGGCCAAGGACCGATGGATGCGTATGCTGTCCAGGCTTGCCAGAAGAGACCGACAGGCACGAGCCAGCTGAGACACATTGCCAGAATCAGTCTCTCCTCTGGCGGCACCTTCAACGTCCCGGATTTCGCTTCTTCGTCTTTGTTCGTCGCCCTTTCGAGTGAGGATTGTCGCAAGGAAGCCTGCACGCGAAGATAGCGCTTGTAGACCAGAGGAGTTGGAGTCGCTGCGATACCGATGCCAATGGCGATGGCGATAAATGTCAGACCAATTTCACCCGGATTGAGGTCGAACGGCTCAAAGATGAGAGGGTATGCTTCGAAAGCTCCAAAGAGGACAATGTAGACTACCGTCATGTACAGCGCGACGAAGAAGACGATGGGTTCCAAGAAGAGCAATTTGAAGGGCATTGCGAAGGCGTGACGTAGGTGTTGAATGAAAGGAGTGTCTTTCCTGGCTCTCTCAAGCGCTGTCGTATACCGCTCATCGCCGGTGGCTTTTCTGATCTGGAGTGCCTTCATGCGTAGCAAGGAAGGTGCGAAAGTCTCCGGCATGAACAGAGCGACGAGAATGACGGCCGCGCCTCCCCAGATAGCCATGAGCCAATCGCACCACTCTTGACCAACTTTGTAGCCTAAGTAGCCACCAATGGCAGGACCCAGACTTGGACCGAGGAAACCAGCGGCGGCAAAGACCGGAAAGACAAAGGTGCGTTCGGTAGGACCTACAATGTCTGCAAGGGAGCCACCGGCATTCGAAAGCGGCGTGCTTCCAAAGAAACCAGCAAAGAAGCGAAGAATGACGCGCGTCTGAATGTTGGGAGCCAATGCGCTGCCCACTTCAAAGAGACAAAAGGCGCCCAGTGTGATGACGTAGACGGGCAATCTACCGCCAATCTCGCTGAGAGGGCCCAAGAAGGGAGCCGCTACGCCAAAGCCGACCAGAAAGATGGCAGTCTGAAGTTCCATGACCTCTTCCGACACTTGGAAACGAGCAGCGGCTTCTTGGGCAGCTGCAGAGTCGATGCCTGCCGCCACGCCTACGATGATGGCTATTTGACTGACCAGCAATACGATGCTCCACTTCTTGAACCAAGACCAGTTCTGAGGATTGAGCGGATCTCTGCTTCCATCCCAATCCACCAAGAATTCATCCTTGCCATCGCTGCCGAATTTCTCCTTGGCCGCGACTCGCTCCTCGTCGATTTCCTCTGCTGCTGTGTCTCCCACGCCTCGTGACCTCGAATCTTCCAGCTGTTCCTTTCCCGCAACTGCGCCGACAGCAGCACTGTCTGTCGTCCTTTTTCCACCGGTGGCAACATCTTGTTCCACCAAGGTGGACGCTGCCCGGGAGGGTCCATTTGGCTGCTTGACGCTGCGAGTTGATAACCTCTGCACATCCGCAGATTGGCTGAACGCCTTGTACTGGATGAAGGATTGCAGCACCATGGTGAATGATGTGCAGCACCGTTTGCAGGCAAGAGAGCCGGCCAGAGGATGTCGATATGGGGCGAAGTGGATGAGTGTAGGGGATGGGACGAAGTGCAAGCAGACTCGGAAGAAGGAAGCCTCACTTTATATGCGCCAGAGTTGGATTGCTTTGACCTTGTGGCAGAAGCGTGCATGCAGCAGGCGCGATAAGTGGAGAAGCTCCGATCCCTTGGAGCCATCGGAGATCCTCCAGCCTGCTACACACAGTACACCGTGGATGCTCGCTCCACCCTTCGTCCCGTCGCTGCGCAGCTGAGCTGCAAACTCAGCAGCTCTAAGCGGTCAGCCATGCGACTGTCAACTCAGCTGCTGCTAGACAAATGTACAGGAATCAAGTTGCGCAATCGTGAGTCACACACATCGTCATTCAATTCTGATTCACATGCCATTCGCCTTTCACCTTCATTCATGCTGATTGCTCGCCATTGTGATTAAACGCGACGATCTCTTTGCAAGGATTCACGATTGTGATTGCTCAGCTCGTTTGCCATCCCGCTTTCACGCATGCAGGCAGCCGTTCAGCACAGCTAGACGCAGCCAATCTTCGCCTCGATCGCGATTATTGGAAGGGCCGCCCGTTTGTTTCAAATCATCAAGGCGAACCGCCGGCAGCAAGTACCAGTAAGCAATTAATTGAGCAGCAGGGTGCTGAATCAAGATTGCCAGCAGTCAGCGATCGGACAAACCAGACGCTAAGGTCTGTAGCGCTTCAGCTGCATGCATGTGCATGCTTACACTCACGACTCACAACCCTCGGCCGCCGCTCCAGCAGGCCACCCCACAGACGTCACGCATGAATTTGCCACTGCACAGTGTGAGTGAGCCTGCGGCATCAACGTCACACGTACCGAATCGAGATGACAGATCAATCAGCAAGCAAAGCAGCCTTTGAGCACACTCTTTCCTGTCCATACCTGCTCCTCACACCAACTCCTCGCGGGGCTTTATCATTCTGCTTTCATGTGCGCCTCTTCGACCTGCTAGATACAGTACAGTACACTCAAAACTCGCGCATCGGGGGAACGCAGGGAGTCAGACGAGAACGCCAGATTTGTTCCCGATCCGATCGGAGTAGATCTGCCAGTCGCGTGCGTGCGTGCGAAACGTCACCGCTCGCAGACAGCCCGATCGGATAGTCCGTCCCGCGACCAAATTCTCGCAATGCTTGCTCGCAGAGCCACTGATTGTTTGACGTGCTTTTGATGACCGCATCAGGCACATTGTTCATGAGTCAGCATTTCAACTGCTCCGACATATTTCTGCACTCTCAATGCCGAGAGTAAGTAGCACGCAAAAGCCCGTGGTGCGCAGCGGGCAGCCGCACGCGTCCTAGAAGTGAGTGGTTCGCGCAAAGCTTCCAGCTTGCGTCAATCCATCGTGTCCGCGTGAATGCGCTGCTCATGACGGGATGGACTCCACACTCAGACTTGCCCGCACCTCTACGTCCCAGGTAGCATCATGATATTGGTACGTGCTCCGAGCGCCTGTGAGCCAAAATATGCGTGAGACTTCTACGTGATGCAGAGTAGTGTGTGTGCGTGGCGCGACGCCCATTCAGAAGAAGCCTTTTGCGCTCAAGTGATCCCCTAGCGAGAGGGGCGGGCGCAGCGAACGCTTGAGCTCCGACGCAAGAGACTTTGCAATCTTGAAACATCAATCAAGATGCTTCATCATCGTAAAGCTCCTTCCACAGCTGGTCCTTGATCGCGTTGGTATTTTTCTCCTCGTCCGCTGCCGCATTCTCTTGCTCCTGAGCAGCACTGGGTGATGAGCCACCTTCATCGAGTATCAAATGCTTGTCATTATCTTCCTGACCCTCCACTCGATCAGCTAGGCGCAGCTTCTTGGCGCCTAGCTTCAAGATGTGTTCCTGAAAGCCGCGGCCGTACGTCAGCTTCAACGCTCGTACTTCCTATACCATCAGCTCTTCTATCACTTACATCGATGGTGCCTTTGCTTATAAGCCGCGTCACTGTGACAGGTCGATGCTGGCCGATCCGGTAGCATCGATCAGAAGCTTGTCGATCCTGTCAATGAAGCGGTAGTGGCGGCAAATCAGCAAACATGACCTGCAAAGAGTAGCGAAAATCAATTCTCACATTTTGCGGATTGAACTACGTCCAGCATCGAGGCAGAAGTTCCGCGTCAGCAAGGGTCATCAGGAGCCACCGGGCGTGCCTATCAGTGAAAACAGTAGACTTACGTCAGAGTCATACAGAATGACATGATTTGCAGCGGTCAGATTGATGCCGACTCCTCCAGCTCCGGTAGACAGTAGAAAGACTGTAATGTCCTGATTGCGCGTAAATTCATCCACAATACTTTGCCGCTCTGTAACTTGAGTGCTGCCTGTGAAGCCCGTGTACTTGATGGTCATGATATCGAGCGCGCGACAGATAATATCCAGCATCTTGACGAATTGGGAGAAGACGATGACGCGTTCACCTTTTGCTTGTGCTGCCCGGATCAGACGCTCCATTGCTTTGATCTTTCCCGAATCCAGCCAAGCTGAGTCTGGTACGTCAAGCGGCCCACCGCGCTGCAATATCATGACACGTGTCAGCCGAGCGTCTGCAAATGGGCAGTGTCTAATTGAGGACTCACTAGCTTCGGAATAGCCGCTACAACACTATTCGCCAGCTCAGCGTCCGAGTTCTCGGCAAAGTCTTCCCTTGTGTGCTGGATGTTCTCGTCCGGGTGCACCTTGATCCACTCTCGCGCCAGCTTATCGATCCGAGCTTGATCGTAATATTCCCGAAACATCAGCGGATGGTTCGCAGCTTTGCGCAGGGACATGAGCACATGGGAGCTGTCAAACTTGGTCGCTTCTGCCTTCTTGGCCCCGCCTCCACGACGCCCTCGCGCAACAGGCTTCGTATCGGCCGCGCCTTTGTCCTCGGCATTCGCGGCAGCTGCAGCAAGCCTTTGCTCTCGGGTGCGTTTGAAGAGGCGAGCCCAGTGCTTCTGCTGCGTGTCTGTCATCTCGACCAGCTCTGCTCGCTCCGTCTTGGTCGGCAGCTCTGGTAGAACGTCTGCTTTTCGACGCCGCAGAACAAAGGGCTGCAGCATCGTCTTCGCTCTATTCACGCGCTCACGTGAAAGTAGATTCTGCGAATTGGCGCTCGTTTTGAAGATGCCCTCGAGGTCCGACTGGGCATGCTCGAAGTAGCGGGGAAGGATAAAGCTGAGTAGGGACATCAACTCCTGTAAATTGTTCTGCAATGGAGTGCCCGTCAAAAGAAGGCGCCATTCAGCGCCGATCCGCTGCAGCTGTTGGTGCTTGGCAGACTTCCTGTTCTTCAGAACATGGCCTTCGTCGTAGACCGCGATGTCGAACTTGAACTTCCGGAAAAAGTCAAAATCTTGCTTGCTGGTGACCGTCTCGTATGTGGTCAAGACCACGGGAAATTCGCGATCTTCGCCAGTCTCTTCGGACGTCTCTTTGTCTTCCTTGAGTTCCCGTCGGAAGCCCAGACGCTCCGCTTGAGGACCATGGTAAACAAAAGGTTCGAGATGAGGAGCAAATTGCTGAAATTCTCTTTGCCAATTTTCCAGGACTGAAGAAGGTACCACGATTAGATGTGTACGTGGTTTGCGCTCTTGTGCAAGCTCGTGCGTCAGGAATGCAATAACCTGGCACGTCTTCCCAGTGCCCATCTCGTCGGCTAGAATACCGCCCAGTCTGTGCCTGTGCAGCAAATTTAACCAGTTGACGCCGCGCAGCTGGAAGTCCTTGAGCGTCACACCATCGTTCAAGTCTTCTGGCTGTTTCCTCAGGTAGCTCGCGGGCGTGTTTTTGCCGCCATTCGAGTCCCACGAGCCCATCTCCTTCTGCAGCTTCTTGCCGGTATTCTCGCATCTAGAGATCACCGAGTCTACAGCGTGATAAGACGCCATGAGCTCCTCGCAGTTGTCGTAAAGCGCAGGGCGCACACCCTTTGTGCTTTCAAGCTTCCTGCGAACATCGGAGGGACTGTGGAAAGGTCTCAAAGACAGAATGATATCCGCTTCTTGGGGCTTACAGCCTGTGTTGGATGTGCAGTGCATCAGCTTTGACACTCCATTTCGCTCGCCCTTGCGCGGCAACCAAAATGACTTCTCACCCGTGGTCTCCAGCAATTCGTCTCTGGTGCAATCTGCAAAGTACTTGAAAGCGTTCAGCTCTCTAGCTTCATCGCCAGCATCGCTGTACCCATCATCGCCTGACCCGCCATCGTCGGAAATGCTGATTGCACGCTTGGACTGCGCATTACCGGCTTTGCTATAAGTTTGCAACTTGGATTTAGAAGTGCTAGAGGCCGGTTTCGCAGACCAGCTAGCTCTAGCTTGAGCATTCTCGCTGTTTCCTTCGCGCTGGTTCATAGGTCCAGCTGGCGACTTGAGCATGAAAGTGCGAGAAGCGCTGCTCGTGCTCTGGGGCGATTGCGAGACGAAGCTGGTGGTGCGCTTTGGTGGCTCGACTGAGCGCGGAGAAGGCGCAAGGCTGCTGGGTGCGGTGCTGGTGGCAGCATTGCGATCGCTGCTACTGACCACGCTCTCCGCAGCGCTGACGAGAGAAGCGACACTCTCCTCTTCAAAGTTGCCCAACACTGCCAAAGCCTTCCTTCCCTTTTCTTTCAAGGCAGCCAAAGTAGCAGCAGGATTGTCGTAATGCACCAGCAGACGGTACACCTCTGCCTGCGTGACCTTTACATTCTCGGTTCGCATCAAGTTGCAGACCCGTTGTGCCACCTCTTGTGTCCTAGGATTTGGTTCCGGCGTGCTGGTGTTGGGAAAAGCTTTCTGAGGAGACCCACTGGACGATGTAGAGTCGGCGCGCGGCCTAGCACCCAGCTTGAAGCGCCCTTTCTTGGCTGGCGGGGGAACATCCTTTGACTGTGAGCGCAAGAACTGCACGCTTCCATCGTCATCGCTGTCTCCCACATTGATGGGGCTGGAGCGTTTGCCAGTGCGAGCGCCGTTGCTACTGATCACAGGCTTGCTAGCCTCCGCTCCTTGATATCGATACCTGTCCAGATTCTTCAGACCATTTGCACCTCGCGAATTCAGCTGCGAGGAGAGCGAAGAGCTCAGGCGCGACTCTTTTTCGGGCGAGGCTGATGCTGAAGTGCGAAAATCGGTGCGACCAGCGGAGTTGCCCATCGCAGCTGCCAGCCGTGAGGAGCCGGATGATGTCATCCTATCGCCTCGAGCAGCAAGGAGCAAGCTGCGATGGCGTTCGCCCAGGAGGACCGGATGTATGCGCTCGATCTCGCCGGACACGAATTCGCGAGCTTACGTAAAGAGCAATGCGGAGGGTATCCTGGGTGGATGCACGAATGGATGGATGCTCAATCTTGAATAGAAGGTACTTCGGGTGTATGAACCACGCGATGTTGACAGCTGAAGCATAGAAAGTGAGAGGGGAGTCTAGGTGGACTGCCTAGCAATGAAACCTTCTCACTGACTTGAGTGACTCGTTGTCGTCTGCTTGGACGCCCAATTCAGAAATTTCAGTTACAGGCGACCTGATCGCGTTTACGCGTGCAGCAGCAGCAGCATGCAGCGCCCCGACGCGTTTGACTCGAATGACGCGCGCACCGCGGCGTCGAATCTACTCGATCACGCGCCGCCCCGCCCTTGGCGCTTTACGAACGCGCTTGCGATTTTCGATGGTGAATTATGAATTCATGATTCACGATTGGATAGGGAGTCGTCTGTCTAGCTTTGGGACCCTTGCAGCATAGATCATGGCTACAATCACAGATCGCGCCTTTCGCCTGGTGACCTCTTGGAGTGGATCGCGCCGCAGCCCGATCAGCTCGAGGTCAGAGGCAGATAGATGCAAGCCAAGCGTACATGATTGCTGCTCCTGATGTGTGCGGCTAGACCAGGTTGCAGGCTGCACACAGGACCACGCGAACTTCGACCAACGGCTGCTCCAACTCTACACCTGACGCAGACTAGGATGTATCGATGACCAAGTCTGCACTCGTGCACAGGACATATTTCCGGAGAGCAGATCTGCGCATCAGGTCCGAGGACACGAGAGCTTGAGCAGCACGCGCGCGATGTAATCATCGTGATTGCAAAAGATCTCAAAGAAAGGCTAGATGACGCCCCAAAAATCCTCAAGGGCACAGCAGAACTAAAAGGCAAAGAAGGGCGCCGCGTTTGATCAGTCGCTAGTGGATGCGCTGACGCGAAGCTCTAAGTGGTCCTGCACAGCTACAGGCACGCATGAAAACTCACCTTGCCACAAGCAACACTTGCGCTCAGAGAGTACTCGCTGATGCTGATCTTCTCATCGACGATGCTATCCGCAAAGCTGTCTTTGCCGTGTGCCATAGCCCCGACGAAGACCGCGATCGAATGATCGGAGGGAATGCCGTTAGAGAGGTAGTTGGAAAGTCTTTGAACCGGCGCATCGAACGACAAAGCTGCACAACAGGTTGGTATTGCTTGTCAGCAATGCAAGAGAAACATCAAGCGTACATGCCTCTGAATTGTTGAGGCTTGGGACGCACTTATCTTGCGGGTGTTGGGCGGGAAGTAATCTGTCACGGGATTCCGAATGACTTTGAGAAGCTTTTCGCTTCCCTTGACACTGCGGATCGATAATTTGTGAAGCAATTGCACTGAGCAGCAGGATAAGACTGGTTAGCAATGGTTGGGCTGGTGCCCCACAGGCTCAACGCTCACCCATTAGGCCACTGAATCTCTTGAATGTCCGTGGAATTCTGACGTGCGGATTGACCTCAATCAGGACACCTCGCGCGGTGTGTATATAGACTTGCAGCAATCCCGCTTTATTCAGGGGCGAGTCCAGGAGCGTAAGCAGACACTGGAGAATGTCGGCGAAACCGTAGTGATTAGCGTCACCAAGCTTGTGCATAGACGCATGAAGCAGTCTATTCCAACAGCACGTCCAGTGCGTGAAAAAATCCGATTGCTCTCACAAGAGGCTCACCTGATGTGTAATGTCTGGCCGAGCTTCAGCAATATCTCTGCCCATCTTGGCGAGCACCCTTTGGTGGTCATCGCAATTCAATAAGGCGTACTTGTCTCCTCCTTGGTCCTTGCTTCGACCACGGCTACTAGATCCGCCCATGGCACCACCTCCGCCATATCCCCCACTGCCGCCGCCGCCGCTACTGGATGGGCCGCTGCTCATCTTGTACGTCTCCAAGCAAGCTTGTTCTAGCACCACGATCAAGTGCGGCCTGGCACTTTTCTCTGCCAACGTCTTTGGCACCTTGGGAGCCTGCGGAACCAAATCAGCTCCCACCCTTACTCGCTTCGGAGAGGCGGTCTGTGTCACGGAGGAAGGGGTCGCGCCGTTGGCGGCGGTAGCTCCTGGTGTTCCGCTAGTCGACGGAAAAGGTGTGGGCAGGTTTGTACCTGGTTTCGAAGGCAGTGCATGTCGCACGCGAGAAGCGGATGAACCCCCTGAGGAAAGCGCAGAGGGTACAAACTCCTGCGCGGCTGGATCGATGACGCCTCGAGATGGTGCCGATGGGGATGAACGCGATGGTAAGGAGGCGATGGGCCGATAAGAAGTGGATGGTTTTGTCGGCTCTGGTGAATCGTTCTCTACTTCCAGCTTGATGCTCGAATCAGAAAGCGCAACGTCCGAGGTGGAACTAGACGGCGAGACGGATCTGGAGCTGCCAGCCATGATGGCGATCTCTAACTATGCGGTCGGGGCTCGGAAAGGGGGGCCTTTGAGGCCGTGGCGATCTTCCCCTGCGAGTCCTGATCAATGGCAACGGGAAGCTTGCGGTGGCAGATGCAGCGTGAGACAGAAGAGTTTGGGAGGGGGAGGCAGGGCTGTGGAGATGGTCAACAGGAATGGATGACGGATTGCAATGCCATGTGAACATTGCAGCAACCTTGGGCAGCCAAAATGTGCTTGCTTCTTCAGGCTCCCGACTTTTGCACTCACGACTCACGATCCACCATCCACGCAGCCTAATTCGGCGGAGTTACTCAATTTTTTGGATCGTAGCGCGTGACTCGTGACAAACGCGCGCGGCCCGACCAAGCGTCACTGGTCATGCAGCCACGTGGCTTGGAAGCTCGATCACTTTTGACGTTTTCACAGCTACAGTACGAGTCGAGCGTCAATTAGCTGCTGACGTGCAACGACCATCAATAAGGACGTGCATGCATGCAGCAGCAGCGCGCGCATCACGCCGCGCGAGTGTTCCGCCGCGGTCGTGCATGCTGAATTTCAAACAGGTTAAATGAAAGGCCCGGCCGCGCGTCGAGCGCTCAGCACTCCCTTGACTGCTCCAACGCCGAGACGCGCGGATGTCAGGCGCACGAAAAGAGACGTGACTTGCTTTGCTCTCAACCGTGCAATTCGGCACGCGCTGCTGGGTGTAAGAGCCGTGTTTACTTCAAAAGGGGTGCATTTCCCTGATACGCACCCTTTCTATACCACCACCTAAAATTCTCCCTTACACCTCCTTTACGCGTGATAAATCCGCATTTCACGTCCCTCGCTGGCGTGATCTCCTTTGCCCTTTGCTCTACAAATTTCGTCTTTGCGTGTCGATCAGAGGTGAGTTACTCGCGCACTAATCGTCTCGCTTTGAAGGTATTGACCCTCAAAGTCGCGACTGGCTTGCATCAAAAACTGAAATCGAACATCAACACCTCTTTACATCCCCACCCACAGCGTGACACACGCGACGCGACGACGCGTTCCCAACACTCTTGACTCAAACTCCAGATTTCAGCCTCGCTGCGTTCTCGACACGTTTCGCACACCCTGGCATCGCTGTCTTCGCTTGCACACCTCCGTGCTTGTCATCACTCACCACCTCACCATCATCAACATCAAGCATAGGTGAGCCAGAAAGCGTGTCGGCCAAGTCTGACTTGCGTCGCTGACCAGCTGTGCTGTCTCGCTCCATCTCAGTCAGCCATGGAGGGCTACAATAACTGGGCTGTGAGTAAGCTCCCGACACCACCATTGCAGTGCATTGCGGACAGGCTCTTGATATTGTGCACAGATGAGGTCCCTGTCGAGCGCTAACCTTGATTGCTTCATCTCTCGAACTCCGCCCTTGTCGGTCTGTGCTCTCGGCGCGTCATGCGCTCCTCTCGACGTTTGTGATCTCTAGCTCGGAGTTGCGCCCCCACCTCCGCATCACTCCTCTCATCATCAGCACCATCAAGGACACCCTCACGCACAGCACCCTCAACATGCCGGTCATCAGGTGAATTGAACGTTCAATCCACCCGCACTCGATCTTGGCTGACGTCGCTCCACCAACGCATGTGTGACTAGAACTACGCTCTTGATGCTGGCCAGCAGGAGATCGCGCAGGCGCGAAGTGCGATGATCGAATCCGTTGCCCACATTTCGTCTTCTCTGCGAGCCGCTGCAACGCAGTGCGACTCCTTCGTCAAAATTGTGGCCAAGCATCACCCAACATCTGCAGCAGCTGCCATCGCCAACATGGGCAATGAGTTTCTGGCTCTCGCTAGCAGTGCTGGCGCAGGTGCACTGGCAGCTCAGACTGGTCTCAATGCTTCCGGTGTTTCTGGCCAATCTGCCGCACCTCCCGCAACACCCGGACCAGGCCATGGAGGACGTAGACCTCTAAGCAAGGAAGAAAAGGCAGAAGCACGCAAGTTGCGCAAAGCAAACCGTGATCCAAAGGCGCCCAAGAGACCTCCCAGCGCATATCTGCTGTTCCAAAACGAGGTTCGGGATGACATGCGAAAGAGGCACCCTGAGCTCACTTACGCTGAGATCTTGAGCAAGATCAGCGAGGCTTGGAAGGCATTGACAGACAACCAGCGCCAAGTAAGTGACCGTTGACGTTTTCTTGGTGACAGGATACATCGGGAGCTTCAAGCTCACCTGCTGATTCGTAATTTCTCATCAGGTATACCACGATAAGACCGTCGAGGCGATGGCTCGTTGGGGAGTGGAGAAGAAAGCTCACGCGGGCGACGCGTCGGGCGCACCTGAGTCTTTCGGCGCCGAGTATGGTACTGGTGAGAATGGCTACGGCGGAGACGACGCAGCTCAGGCAGCATCCCAAGCCGTTGGTGGCATGGACTGGAGCTCTGTGCCCACCTCTGCGCTGCCCGGTGAAGAGATCTCGTCCAAGAAACGAAGCAAAGAGGAGAAGCAGGCGAAAAAGGAAGCGAGGAAAGTAAGTTGCCTGTCCAAACGGGTCACCTTTGAGAAGCCGAGTCTGGCATTAATTGACTCTGACATGCTACTTGCCTTCTTGGACAGCAGAGCAAGATGCACAAGGTCTGAAATCTGCGCTGCTCTTCACCTAGCCGAGCAAATACCTTGCAAAGGATCAGACTGTTTTGTGCAAGACTGTGCTGCTGTTTTGTTTTCTCGGAACTCATGAGACGACAGAGCGAGCATCTGCTTTCGCTGTACGTCTCGCGCGTTTTTGCTCTCCCTTATCGCTCGTGTACTGTGTATCTCTTGTCTCTGCGAGCCCAAGAATATGAAAAAGAAATCCATGCTTTTGTACACTGACACTTGGCAAGCTCGACATGCCAAAATGTGCTAAATCGAAGCGGGCTACTCCGCATTTGAATCACGATCATGAACTCTTTCCGCGTTCTCATTGCGTCGACAGCATCACTCAAGTCGCTCTGCCTCATCACAGCTCGTGAGGAAGACTCATGGATTGGGGACGCGCGTGTGACTCTGACTCTGTACTCGTGGCTGACTGATTCTGTGAATAGGGGCTGGTGGTGGACAGAGATACGAAATGAAGGAGACAAACGCCAAAGAAGTGAAGAGAACAAATTTGAAGCATGTCCCACTCAAGCTTCCTCTCCTTGTGCCCTGTTAGTGGTAGACTGGTGTACATGAACGCTGCGCGGCTGAAGTGGTGGGTCAACTGGTCCCTCGTCTCTAGTTGCTGGAGAAGTGCGGCTGCGTGGCAGCGCGAGGAGCACTAGAGCATGCTCAGTTGCGCTTGCATTGTTGCGTCCCAGCACAGACTTCCGTGGCCATGTTGAGGAGCAAATTAGAGCTCGACCCGTCTACATGGCTAGCTCAGCTTGCAAAGCTCTCAACTCTGCATCATCGTCATCCTCCACGGCTTGTCTACGATTAGGCTCGGCTTGTGTTCTGCTAGGACCCGCTACGATCGGCGATGGGTTGTGCACCGGCGCTCTGTCCGCGCCCACCAGCCTCTCGTTCAATTCTTGCTGCTCCAACTCTTCCAATTCATTCTTGAGCTCGTCCTGCGTGAGGTAGGGGCGATAGAGGCCAAGTATTAGTTTTCGACCCGAATCCGCGCCAAGCGTGCGGCTGCGACTTGAGTTGAAGCGGAGCACTTACCTCGTCAATATCATTGCCCATGCCGACAGGGTTGGAAATGGCATCCGAAATTTCTCTGCCGAGGTCCATCTGCTCGCGAATAGAGTCCATTGTGGAGTCGACCTTGTCGATGTTGCTGGCGGAGAGGATGGGACCGAGACGTCAGCAATCACTGCCTGTTCCAGACACGACGCTGTGACACACGAGCTCAGATACGCACAGGCTGCCATGAATGGACCGCAAAGCATCCGCTCCTTTGCGCATAGCCGTCATGGTTTCCAGATTCATGTTTGCGCTCTCGATGGCATTCACTTGGGTCTCCAGAGTCATCCGCGTCCCCGCAATTTGATCGAGCTCGTTCTCGTATGCCTTTTTCTGACGCAGTGCCGCCTGTGCCGCTGATGACGAGCACATGGAGGTGGCGAACGTGTCAGCATGGGGTGCTTAGTGTCAGACTCAGTGCACATCTCCGTGCGGATGCACCAGATTAGTGATCCGAGGTATGTGTCAATGAGCTCGGGTGATCATCGGGAGGAATGTGGCGTATACACGAGCGACGATCCGAGTGTGCGAACAGGTCCGGTCCCAGACAACTGCAGCGCAAAGCGCTACTCACCTCGCTTGTTGGTCGTGACGTGCATCCTCGCCTTTTTTGTCTCATCCTCGATCTTCTTGTTCAAGAACTCCTCCTTCTTATCGAGCATGATGAGTTGGGAGCGCAATCCCACAATGGCCTCCCTCGCCGCATGCGGATTCTCCTTTTTCTTCCCCACCAGCCATGAAGACCAGCTCGACATCTTGTATGCTGTTTCGGATGGAGACGAAGAGGGCGGGTTTGCGATGCGGCTGAAGGCCAAGAGTGAGGACAGAGGACCAGGCCTAGTAGCGAGCTTGGCAGCGGAGTGTGACTGACAGCTAATGCCGCCGCAAATGGCTTCTGCGAAGTTGATGCGGCACGATTCGGTAGGCAAGAGCGACGTGTGGCTAGCTTTGCTCTGACCAGCTCGGCTGAGGCATAGATTGACGATCCGCGCGAGACCGATGGCCGAGTGCCAAGCTTGTGCCACGAAGGTGTGATGCCCGCACAAAGTGAATGGACCCAATTGTGGATGCTTCAGCGGTCAGTCTCGATCTGTGGTCGTGAGTAAGGATAGAGACTGGTGTTATCGTGGTTGTTGTGGTAGGCGCACGTCAAGGCCCGACGATCTCACCCGGCGCTGATGCACTTTGACTCCCACTCACGACTGAGCTCGCGCGCCATGATCGCTCTGATCTTGCGCGGGCGCGCGCGCGTGTGGAGTTGCTTGCGCGCGCCCATGGTATACCTATATAAGCATCAGCATCAGCACTCGTGACTTGATTCACTCGATCGCGTGCCTGCGCGCCGCAGGCGCGGCTGCATGGCTCAGCGCCGCCTCTGTGCCATTCATTTCCTGACAGTTGCTCCACAGCAGCACCAGCTCGTCTCGACGACTGCCGGTATAATTGCCTAGCTGCTGCTGATGATATATGCATGCTGAGCCCTGGCAAGGAATGCTCATGTCTGAAACGTGTCGCGATGAGCAAAGACACTTTCGAGCGAGAAACCTTGAGCAGGGAAAAGAAACGAGAATGAGTGCAAGCCTTGGCTTTTCGGTCGAAGAGCGCTGTTGAGTCAGAAGTGTGAATCCTTGAGGCTTGACTTTTCGAGTCTCGATCGAGTCAAGAGTGTCAAGAGCCAAGAGTCAAGAGTTGCTAAAGAAAGCAAATCTGAGACTCATCAAAATGGGTCAAGATTGCTGCCATATGCTACCACATCATTCAAGTATCAATATCAATTGTATGCAAGTTCATTTTGCATGGTGAACCAAATGGTTGAAGTAACACTTTTCAAATTCAAGATTGACTATCGTGTCACAGAGCATTCATAATTTCAGACTCTTGATTTGATTACGTGTAGCCAGCGGCTTGGCCGGATATACATCTATACTGCTGCCGGAGCTGCAAAGATGCAGATGTCGTGCTCGTTCAACTCAAACTCATCAGCCTTACCTTACCTACTTGGCTTGATTTGAATCAGATTCAACGTCTCGCTTACATCGTGCATCGCTTACCGCTCTTTCGGGAGCGCGCACTTGACGATTTTGGGATGTTATAGGTGATTTGGGAGCGCACCCCCGGCCTGAATGCCTGCAGGCCTGCCTGTCCCTCGGCGTCGCTACCCGTCATTTTTGATGCTCCCCTTCTGGCTCATCAGATCGTGACGGTCACATCCCAGCAGTCATCCAACGTCCTCCAGCTGATCGGGAGGGTCCTTCTTCCAGTACATTACCTTTCTGCCCTCCGTTCCCACACCTCCACAGGGTTCCCAGCTATCGCAGCCAGGTTGGAGCTCATTCAAATTAAGCACAGACATATAGCAGTCTGCGATTGCTGACAGTAGAAGCTTTGATCCTTCAATTCATCAAAAGTGTACCTCTGGCTCGTCTGCGAAGAGCCAGCCTAAGAGAGCTTACATTACCCGGCAGCGATAGTCACGATCTGAACGTGGGGCCATCGATCATCGAACATGTCGAGCCGGCCAGCACCACCAGCTGGAGGCGGGGCCTCATCATCCCCATCAGCCCAAGCCCCCTTGGCTCGCATGACGGATGCAACCACTGGACCTGGACCTGGACCAGCATCCACCAAGCTAGCCGCTCTCTCTATCGACTCTTACCATCTCGACTCGCCGCCTTTCACAGGCACTGCCGTCGGTGGGCCTCCCCTGGCAGAAGCTGGTGCGAAATTAGCAGCATCACGAAATATTGAGACACCAAAGGACATGGCACAACAGCGAGTTGGCGTCAATGGACAGATCACTGGCGCATCGCCTTTGTCTAATGAAATTGCGAGCACTTCGTCAGATAGCGCAGCGTCGAGCGGCGGGCATGAAGATGAAGGCCAAGGGCACGATGGCGATGTGCCTCAATGGTTGCTAGACAGTCGTCGACACTCCGTCGAAGCGGGCGACTACTCTCAATCAGCAAATGCGAGTCCATCGACCATTCGACCCACCTTTCCTTCTCATTCCGCATCTCGAGCGTTTCAACCTAGCACGTCCACCGTCAGGGAATCATCCCCTCATTCGTCCAGCACGACCACACACACAGCAGCTTCAAGCGCTAGTCGTCAGGCCGAGGCAATGTCCATCACCACTGTGCTCTCACAGCAAGAAAGGCAGGGACGTCCAGCATACGCTCAAACTGAAGACGTCGATGGGATAGGCCAGGAGTCAGCCAGTCATCCGGCTGATGCGTATGACGAGCTGGATGTCGAAGAGCTAGGTGTCGCTTCGTACGGAGAGGTCCCTCGTCAAGCTCAGGGCAAGGTGCGCGGACTGTCTCCCGGCTACTTTGGGTGCATACAAGGGCGATTTGGCTAATCAATGCGCTCCACCGCCCCTTCTGTTCATCAGGCCGATTACGTATTTCCCAGGCATCGTCTGCCAACGCGCATGCGTGACGAGTCCAAGATCCCACTTGTCATCGTAGCCTGCGGAAGCTTCTCACCTCCCACCTATCTGCATTTGTGAGTGGGAAAAGGCGCTGTCTGGTATAATCACAAAGCGTCTGCTGATTCGAACTAGCACTCATCAAGACGCATCTTCGAGATGGCGAAAGATCAAGTGATCGAGGAGGGCAAGTACGAGCTCTTGGGAGGCTACTACTCTCCAGTGTCTGACTACTACAAGAAGGACGGCTTAGCAAAAGCTACGCATCGAGTGCGGATGTGCGAGTGAGTATGCTTTTACCTCGCAATGACATTTCACTCATGCACGCGCGGTCAGCTTAGGTGCTATGCTATCCTTTGAAATCGCAGGCTCGCAGTCGAAAAGACATCGACCTGGCTAATGGTGGATGCTTGGGAATCTCTACAGGACGAGTACCAAAGGACTGCTGTAGTGCTCGACCACTTCAACGAAGAAATCAACGGACGCGCCGAAGGGGGAGTCATGCTAGCTGACGGGAGCAAAAGGAGAATAAGAATCATGCTTCTTGCAGGTGGTGATCTTATTCAAAGCATGGGTGAACCGGGGGTCTGGGCCGAAGACGACGTAAGTGAAGCCTCGCTTTGGGTTCCATTCTCATCGATCTCACTCACTTGGCGTTTCTTTGCAGTTGCATCACATTCTTGGACGCTACGGTTGCATGATCGTGGAACGGACCGGAGCAGACGTCTGGTCCTTCCTCCTCTCCCATGACCTCCTGTGGAAGTACAGACGAAATCTGAACGTGGTGACCCAAGTCATCTACGACGATGTCAGCAGTTCCAAGATCAGATTATTTATTCGAAGAGGAAAGAGCATACGTTATCTCTTACCTCAAGCCGTCGTTCATTACATGGCCGAAAATCAATTGGTGAGCGTCTGGGCGCCGCGAAAGTGCTCTTGCCTCGCCCCACTCGATCCCATTCCTGTATGCTGCCCCTGCGCACCACTGACAATTTGTTTGCCGTTTGCGCGCCACCTTCCGCAATCAGTATCGCTTGCCTGCAGACGATGTTGGCGAGCCGGTCGACGCTGACAAAACGTTGACAGAGTACAAAACCAAGAATGGATAGGTCAAGAGGTACAGGGGTAAGTGGGCTCATCGTCGGTGGGGCATCAAGTCGCTGGATCATCGTTCGATGCCCTCTCATTAGCACATCTCAATGGACGTCTCATGTCGCTACGTATGTAATGTATCTCGCAAATGAGTGCCAGGACACCCAATGGATATCTTGGCCCCACTTGGTGCTGCGGCCGAGCTCATCTCCTCATTGAGAGACACTGTCCCAAATACAAGCGCACGCTCCGGGACGAAGAGGTCCTCACACTCATGCGAAGCAGATTCACACGTATGCATTGCACAAGCACGTCCATGTTCCAAGGGTCCTACTGCTAATACAGCAAAGCCCAGGGGAAGAAGACAAGCAAATCTAGTAGACTTCCAGCACGTACCTCTCCTCCTCTTTCAAGCTCTCAATCTTGGCAGTCGCTTCATCAGCGGGCATGCCTTGGTCCGTGAAGCCATCGATCAAAGCTTGCGTCACGTCTGGTACTGGCCACGTGGGTCCACACAAGCAGGCATAACCTTTGTCTGCCTCGTTGGACGCAGTCAGCAGCTTGGCAATGGTCGCGCTGTGCTCCCTGATACGGTCTTGAATGTAGCTGAGGGAGCAAGGCAAAAGAAAAAAGTGGGGTGCAATCGCGTGAATACGCGTCACATTCAAAGCTCGTGGGAAATACGTCAGGCGACACTCACATCTTGTGCTTTTGGTCTCGAGAGAAGGCAGTGAGCAGAGTGATCAGACCATCCCGCTCATACGCCTTGAGCTCTTCGCCGTACAAGAACTCGCTAGCCTCGTAACGAGAACCAAAGCAGTAGATGAGAGGGCCGATAGGCAAGCCCTGCCTACGCTGCACATCTCTAGCCTGAATGTATGCTCTAAAGGGAGCGGCACCAGTTCCCAAACCAGCCATGATGATGGGCTGAGTGGTCAGAGGTGGCAGCTTCATGATGGACGGCTTGAGAGAGACGGTCACTTGATCTCCCACTTTGAGGTTGGTCAAGTACCGCGTGCATTGTCCAAACCTGGGCGATCCGCTCGGAGTGAGCCAGTCCACCGTGACGACGAGCAAATGAACACTCTCGCCCACGGCTGATTGAGCCGAAGCAATGGAGTAGTGACGAGGCTCGATGGGCGAGACCTCGGTCAGGAGCTGCTCCAGGGAAGGACGAGCAGAGGGGAACATGCGAAGAACGTCCGCATAAGTGACAGTCTCGACTTCGGACAACTTCTTGAATGTCGCATTACCCTCTGCTGCGGCAATGAATTTGAGCCAGCGAGCATCATCTCTGTCCTTCGCGACCTGACCGAGGAATTCGTAGAAGCGTTTGCCTGGTTTGCCGAAGATGTCCAGGCGTTGCTGCAGCAGCTGGAAGACGGTGCGGGTCTCGAAACGAGCGGAATCGTTCAAGCTGGGAATGCTGATCACCTCGTCTCCCTTTGCTCCGTACCACTCCAAGAATTCCTTTACTTCTTGCTCATCGTTCCAGCCGTGCACGCCAAGGGCCTCTCCCACTTCGTACTTGAGGTCGGTACCTGCCGTGCTGAGCTCCATGTGGAAGACATTGCGGTCGTAGTCGACCGGTGTCAGTCGACGATTCTCTGTCACCTTGACGACCCATGTCTGCTCGTGCAGGTCAGGTCGCAAAGACTTGGCGTCCAAACCGTAAGCCTCCGAAAAGAGGTTTTGCCAAGCCGGTAGGGCCCAAGTGGCTCTCGAGGTTGGAATGGTGCCGTCAGCGGCAGCAAGAGCTGCAGCGTCCAAATTGGCCGTAAAGGAGTTGTATCGTCCAGCAGACGCGCGGACCGATGCAGCCGCACTGGCATTGGCGACGGCTGAAGTGCTAGCCCAAGCAGGTTCCTCGTATTGGACAGGTTGCACTGCTGCATGAGCTGCTTCGACAAGGGCAGGCAGTCCACCAGGTCCGAGAGGCGCAACGCCCAGAATACGCTGCAGCAGGACGACAGAGTCATCAAGACCGAGTCCGCTGTGGGCATTGAGGTACACAGCGAGGAGCACAGCCGCTGCCACCTCTTTGGTCAATGCTGGAGACTTGGCGCCGCCAGCCAGCTTGTCTGCTGTGGCAGTGGCGTCGACGAGGAAGACTCGCGCACGCGCCGATGCGAGGGCTTGCAAGTCGACGGGAGACAGCTTCGTGGACACCTCCTCCACCTCCCAGCCTGGCGCATTCAGAATGACCGTCGCGCCGGAGGCCAGGTCACCGAACGCATTGACACCCTTGAGACAGCTAATGTCGCCGACTACAAGAGCGTGAATTCCTCCTTCTGTAGCCAGATGAGCGGGAAAGATGTCATCTCCAGGATTACCGATGACAACATCCGAGCGTACTACGCCTCCAACGCTAAAGTTATCGAAGCGAGAGATGATGCGACTACCTTCGCCAGTCGTGCGAGAGCGCAGCGCACGTGCGAGCAGTCGACCGGTGTAGGATGTTGGAGAAGCGTCGCCGTCCAAGAAGCTGACGACGCGCTGAGCACCAAGTAGACCCGCTGGTGTTGCCACGCTTTCAGCGAAGACGGTGGCGAGGCTGCTGATTGGGCCAGCTGCAGCCGCCCGGAGGAGCGAGACCCATTGGCCTGCCGAAATGGTCTGTCCGGCGGAGAAAGCAAGAGGCTGAACAGCGCGAACGATGCCGCTGGTAAAGTCATTGAGCAGAGCGGCCTGCACATCGTCGAACAGAACGCCAGATACGCCTGAACGCAACTCGTCGACGACAAAGACGCGCTTGGCAGAAGCTGGCAAGGCAGTCAGAAGGTCGTCGTCGCTCCAAGGGCGCAGCACACGAACAGCAAGGATGCCAACCTTGTCTGCTACGCCGCTCTGGGAGAGCAGAGCACGAGCGGCGCTAGCGTGAGAGCCATTGGGCACCACAATCACCGATGTAGCATCTGCAGCGCCGTAGTAATCAAAGTGAGAGAGACCACGACGACCAAGAGCTGCGCTGATAGAAGTTGCTACTCCGCTTCCAAGGGTGGGCTCGGACAGTGCTGCTACTTCGCGAGCCGAGTAGGCGCCATCGAAGACGTGGACAGCGTGCTCTTGCGTGCCAGCTTCGTAGATGGAAGCAGCGACGTCGACGGCTTCTTGACGGCCAGCAGAGAGAATGACTGCAAAGTCCGGGGCGCCCACGGGGCTGGCTCCCGTAAGAGCAGCCGTGGCGCCGAGAACGCTGGCGTAGTCATTAGCCACCCGCAGGTTATCGTCGTGATCGACGGCCTGGGAAGCTGCACTGGCGTGAATGACGAGCCTGGAATCCGATGGTGGCAGCGCTGCGAGTGTGGGAGCCATCGCCACCAAGCCTTGAGCATTGGTCAGGGCGCTGACCACCTTTTTTAATCCTGCTGGTGCGCCGCTCGTCGTTCCCTTCTCCGCCACGTAGCCAGCGATGGCATTTCCGGCACCCCCACGGGTCTGCAGGCTAAAGACACGGGGCCTGCCCGCCACCCAGCCTTTGGCTGCCGCTTCTTTCGCCTCGCGCTCAGCCCACGCTCCAAACCCGGCGTTGGTGGCTGACTCGTACACAAAGAGCGAGTTGGATGAGCGGTATGCCAGCTGTTCGATCAAGCCTGCACTTGTAGCCTTGAGCTCGGCCTGTGGCAAACCAGTGAGCCATACTGGAGCGTCGGGCTTGGAGGCCACTTCTTCGCTCGAGTTGATGACGGGACCGCTGAGGTTCATACGTGTGTCGAGGATACGTGCAGCATCTTGCGCGAGTTGACTATTGGGGACGACGCCAAGCTCCTGGGCTACAAGTTTGGCGGGCTGAGCAGCTTCTTCCTTTTTACTCAGCGCGGGCTTTGCAGCGTCGGCTCCAAACCTGGTAGGGTCTACGTCATCCAACTTGGTAGTCTCATCAGCACTACGTGCGCTGCCACCACCGAGCACTTTTGCGGCTTTGTCGCGCGTGCTACGAGTGACTTTGCGGCTGGGAGCGAAGGATGCTCGAGAGAGGGCAAGAGCACCTCCGATGCCTACAGCCAGACCACCGGCGAAGATGGCTGCCGTGCCAAACGGAGCGTTCGCATGTACCGTGGCCATCGTGATCTTGTGAGCGCGAGGCTGAGGTGAGGAGTGATGTGATGTGATGTGTCTAGAGGATGAGGATGGGAAGGGAGCAGTCAGTGGCTGCTGCTTGATGACTGTGACTGAGGCCCGATCACACTCGAGACTCAGGTCACGCGCGGTGAGAAGAAGTCGCAAATTCGCGCGCGCGTGAGCTCACCTGCTGCTCATCGATCGGCCTTTGCGGAAAGCCGCTCCGCGTCTTTTCTTTTTCTTTTTTTCTTTTTTGCCAATTCAAAATCCCATTGCAGTTCGTTTTTGTTGTATATGCTCACGACGCTTATTCAAGCTGCTCTCGCATGCATGCGTGTGGCTTTTCTCGCTCGGGTCCATCCGAGTCATGAGTGCGCGTGGCCGCGTGAGATCGCGGCACAAGCCTGCGCTAGCACGCGATATCACGTGGGCGCACATGCAATCATCTACTCAAGACTGTAGGAATCAAAAATCATCCGCCGCCTACACGCTGGTAGACCAGCCGTGTTGTACTAGGACCCTTGCTTCGAGGTGAAGAACAATCAACCTCCTGAAGCCTTTTCGCAAGAGCCCTAGAAATCTGCAAGTATCCGGAACAATGGTCAATCGAGGGGAGCGCAAATTATGAGGAAAATGTTTCAAATGCCAAGCAGCCCTGTCTGAGCCACGCGGAATCCTGAATTCTTGAATAGAAACGAGCAGCGTCGTTCGGTACGGTGACTACGTCACTACGGTGAGAGGCGCCCAAAGGCTTTGCCGTCCCGGTCGCGGAAGGTCCAGAGTCAGAGCGCCCACCAATAGAGGCAGTACCAGTAGGCTGGGTGGGTGTTTCTTTGCGGCACGACGCCATCCTCAGGGCGTACTGGAAGGTGCTGAAGGTGGTGGAGAGCAGCATGTTCGCTTTGCCGACTCGATTCTTCGCCCTGATCCGCGCTTCTTGGTGTCCACGCCACACGCGCGCACTGGGTCTCGCCACTCGCTTTGCCGCCTTGCCACTGACTGCCTCCGCCACTCAAGCAACCGTGCCTGCGTTGGTATTTGTGGAGTGTCGCATTCAATGTTGCTGTGGCGAAGAAGACGCCAGATCAATTGGCGTGGCAAGCGGGGTGGACATTTGCTAGTGCTGCGACCGCTGCGACTCTGTCAGTCGTTGTGGGGCGCTGCCACGCTTGTTGTGGCCAAGGCATAAAGAGCGCCTGCGCTTCCGCTCCTGGACAGCGTCTCTTATCAGCTCTTCTTTACCACATCGACCCATCAGCTGTTCTTTAGACTTTTCTCCCCTTGCATTCAAGTACGCTGTTCAGCAAGCTGGCCTTGCACATTCTAGGTTTCCTCTCTTTATGGTACTTCCTGCGCAATGCGGCGTCAAAGTCTTTCTCGATGGGGGCTTGCGTACCGTAGCTTTCTGCTAGCTACCGCTCTCGCAGCTGCAGCCAGTCAACCCTGCGAGGCTACCTCGGTAGAGGGCGATAATACTCTCCTCAGCAAACGTGGTCTCGAGGAAATCCTGAGCAACGCGCAAAAATTCGGCCACGGCACGCTCGGCAGCGATGGTTCTCACTCTGCTCATCTTTCTGGCGCTCAGCTACAAGATTTTGGGCGGCCTCAGAGCGGCTCAGACCGAATACCCTCCAGCTGGCCCCTGCAGCGCGACTCGAATTCGCTGCTCCGCTCTTACTTGACGGATCCTCACCAAGGCACGCCATTCCATCATCCCTTGACCTCTATGGGACATCGGGCTAGCGATGCGGTACCGGTTCGCGACGCTCCTGAGGTATATGAGGCGCTTCCAGACCATGAGCCCCAAGCCGCTTCTCGAGCCGATCGACAAGCTACTTCTCAGATCGCCTCTCCGTACGTCTCGCATCCGCACAGTGCAAATGACGGTGGTGCAGGCCCGTCGGCCAAAGCACCTTCCCATGCAGGCCTCACGTCTGACGGATCTTGGCAGCCGCCGGGTGGTTGGGGCAGTGTGCGCCCAAGGAAAGACTGGGATCAGCTCACCGAATTTGGCAAAGTCTTTCGAATCAGGCGTTTCAGACACGCTGAAGCCGGAATACGTCGCGTACGCCTTGACAGACCAAGAAACAGTGCCTGGGCCTACGATAAACACGGTGCTCCACGACCCAAACGTGACGATGAGCTAGGGCCCTACGCGCGTTGGCGCCGCCAAAATCCCGACAAGGTAGCCGCATCAGTCGCAAGAAGTCTTGAGCGAGCCAAGGAGAATGTAGTTCGCGCTCAACAAGGACTACCACCCCTCCCCCCGGGCAAGAGAGGTCGCCGACTTTCAGACAAACCACTGAGTAGGTCGGGCACGTATAGGCGCGCACAGGCAGGACGAGCACTACCAAATCACCCGGATCAAATGCCAGCTCCAGATGTAGGCAGGACCGCAAGAGCGAGAGAGCAGAGATTGAGAGAAGAAGAGGAAATCCGAGCTCAAGAGAGCTCCGACGGCTCCAAGAGCCCTCCTTCATCGACAGCGCACCCGCATATTGAACGACGCTCACTCTCCGGATGGCAGCTTTCAAAGCGTGTTCCACCGGTATCTGAGCTCGCGCACCTCTTGGACTCAGGGGCGCCTCAGGCACTGCACGCCGCAGAGCGGTCGAGTCCTGCTCATGAGGCCGGCCTTTCCAGTCATATTCAAAGCAGCGGTGCTCCCCGAAAGGTCTTAGACTTTGATCTCAATGAGGTAGGTCTTCTGGTGCGATGTGCGGTCTTAGCAGCACTGACACCCTCCCCTTCACCTCTGGACGTCCAGCTGCCTGTCGAGGCTACTCATGCTCCATCTTCTCCCTTACCATTTAGCCCTCAGAGACCCTCACTCTCTTCACCAAGCGCATCAACCTCGCGCGTTCTGACGACCAAGGAGGTCCCTCAGCAGCCAAAAGAGACCATTGGCGGTAGCTACCGCGGGCATCTTGGAGTCAGTATTGCTTCGTGCGGTCTTGTCGTCTCGATGCACACTCACGGAACTCCCTTTTCCCCAACATCTACAGACTCCGATGGGCTACAAGCACAAGCCCTTTGATCAGCTGAGCAAAGCGCAACAATGGAACCGATTAAACCCCGAAAAAGCGATGGAGACGCGCAAAAGATGGGCTGCAAGGCGAAAAGGAAATCCCCCAGCCCCTAAGACTGCTCGACCCATTGACCCTCGGCCGTTCGAGAGCCTTCCGGCATCAACGCAATACAATCGTCTGCATCCAGAAAAGAATGTGCAGTACAAGCGAAGGCGAATGCTGAAGCAGAAGATCCTTGCCATGGAGGAATCTGGCAGTGCAAATGCCGAAGCACTGGCTGAAGCTCGTACAGCTCTAGCGTCGGAGCGATATCTACCAAAAGGCGTGAGTTTAGAGCGCAAGCTGTCGTTCGGATGCGAGCGACAAACGGTTAAGAATACAGAGGCCACGTCACGCTGACGATCTGTCTTTTGTAGCGCCCTGTTGGAAGTAAGAGTGTGAACGTCAAACCGTTTGAAGAATTAAGCGTTTCTGGTCAGTACAAACGGCTTCATCCGCAGAGGACAGAAATGTATCAGGCTCGCAAGCGCATCGATAGACCGCTGCCTGATGGCAGTAAGGTCAAGCCGTATGAAGAGCTCACAGCATCCGGCAAGTATAATCGGGACAACCCTCTCAAGAGCGCCATGTATAGGCAGACTCGACGCGCCAAGTTTCTTGCCACCCACACGCCTTTGCCGCCTGGACCCAGACCAGGGAGCAAAAGAGTGGCACGGCCGAGCTCCTCCACCACCGTCTTGGAGCAGCGAGCCTATGAAGAGGATCATTTGGGCGATTTCTTCGAGCACGGCTACCACCATCTGGTTGGTGGGCCATCCTCGCCGTTCGCAAAGACGCACGAAGTACTTGACTTTTTCGACCCTCCACGAGCAACGGCATCCGATAGTGCGCACGCATCTCAACCCGCTGATCCTTCTTCGCACGAGCCGGTGCGTGCGGACTGGACAGATTCCGATTTCGCATCACGGCAACTACTTCTCGTTTTGCTGATGCTGTCGGCGCCTATCGCTCTTGCAGCCATCTTCGCATTCCGAGGAGCAGCGAAGCCGCATGCACGATGATCATCACGAAAGTGATCACATTGCGCAACCTCAAACACTAGAAAGTCCTACAACTGGAGCAGAGTCGAGTTTAACATCTCCAGCTCGAGAGCGAAACCACTCGTATGGCGGCAGGCCTCGCGGACGACCTCGAAAACTCAGAAGTATGCCAGAAAACGATGAAGCCAAGACAAGGCGTTTGGAGCGCAAATATGCCCACCCATTCGAGCCCAGGCCCTTGGAGAAGGTTACGGACGACACCTTGAATTCTTCGTATCAGCGACGTTACCGCGGTGGTAAGAAGCTGGATACGGTACTGCAAGAAATCGAATTTCTGAAAAAGGATCCCGAACGGCACGAGCGCCTGCTCAAGAACGCACACACAAGAGCTCAGCACTTCTTCAGCCAGACTCATGGTCCGGTTGGAAAGCGGTGGGAGGTTCCTTATCGAGCAGTTGGCATGACGCCACAAGCCCTCATGAACTTGGGAAAAGAGGGCCGTTTCTATCATATCAGAAGGCTCAGACAGGCCGCAGCAGAAGCAGACAAGCATGCAAAATATCTCGCTGAGCACCCACTAGCCACAGATGAGGTCAAGAAAATGGCCAAAGAAAGGGCAGAGTCCATGGCAGGCTTGGCGGAACACACCTACAAATCGCCGCCAAGCCCATGGACCGCGGGCCACTCGAAGTCGGTTCCCTTGTTACCAAAGGCAACAGCGGAAGCCTTGGCTACCTGGAGCCAAAGTGTTCGCCGTCCTTCTAATGGGTCGAAGGATGCGGCAAGCTCCTCTGCGCCCCCCTCGCCCTCCGGATCGAGTGCTGAGTGATACGCAAACTCGCAAAATCGGTGTTTGCACGCAATGAAATTGGACTTCGAGGTCTTCTGCGAGGTCACTGTTTTCTAGGTGAAGCGTGTGTCTGATGCTTAGCCTGCGATCGTGGTCATCACCTGGTGACGCTTCCGGTCTCTGGTCTTTCAGGCAGTGCGAGGCACGTTTCCAAGTCGTGAGTGTATAGTGTCCCTGTCGCTTCACCTGAGCTCCATCACCTCGACATCGAGCGTGGAGCAGGATGACGTGCTTCGATTCAATAATTTTGTAACTAACGTACTGGAATGCATGCGAGCACAACAAGCCGCGGAAACGACTGCAGGAGGTAGGTGTTCGCACTGCACTGCCCCTTTTGAAGCACCTGAAATCTGGCCATGTGCTCTCGGAGGTGCTGCTCTCTTGCCTGCGCTTAGAATTTGCTTCATTGCCCTTGATCTTGTTGTAGATTGGTGAGGCGGCTTTTTCTGGTTGGTGGCGTGCGCTTGTGCTTGACGCCTTTGATCAAGTCGCTCAAATCGGTCATGAACGCCTTTGGATGCGCCTGATAGTACGGATGATTTCTGGCCTCCCTGAAAGAAGCTCCGGTACTGTACTGACCCAAGCCTCCAGAGGTTGGATCCTGTAGCTGCGATGTTATCACGGAGCCGTGGCTCCCAGGCATTGCGGCTTGCTCGCCAGGCTTGCCGTATATCAAGTGGTACCCCTTCGGTTCCATCTTTTGACCAAGACTGGTCTTGCCATCCGCTGGAATGCGAATGCGGTGCTTGTCAAACGCAAGTCCTTGAAAGTGAGGGAGAGGCTCCTTTCCACGTCCTTCTTGCCAAGACCTGTAAAGCTGAGCAAGGACAGAGTCAAGAAAAAGCGCTTTCAGCGGGCCGCCCATGCCTCCAATTTCCGCAGCCTTATGAGTCTGGACGTACAGTGAAAGCCCGCATGTCAGGCATATGAGTGTCTCGGTGCCACTCCAGAGCTTTTCGAATGTCTTTGTTCCACACATTTTCCGGATCGCGCCCACGCCAATTTATTTCTAAGCCATTTTCATCAGTTACATTGTTCTCATCGTGCTGTCCCTTTCGCAACGGCATAGAGCTTGCGCCATCAGTGGTTTTGAGTTTCTTCGGGGAACGCGGAGGTCGACCCTCTTGTGCATGCGAAGATTGGCCTTCGTGATGGCGCAGAGGTGTCACTACTTGAGGACGCGAAGGTTGGCCTCCTTGAGGAGGCAGGAAATTGTGCTCTTGAAGATGCGGAGCCTCATTTGGCAGATGCACAGATGCTGGTGCGTCTAGCATCGCTCGAAATGGGTTGTGTCTCGTCCGTGCAAGCTCGACCAAATGTCTGGCTGTTGGATGTCCATATGGATCGGTGGTCGAGGTACTGTGGAGACGCTGTACAGAACTCGAGGGAGGAGCTTCAAATGAAGGCAGATGCCCGGCCTCATCTCCCAGAGCTAAGTGATCCGATCCTTGAACATGGCCGAACGGCTGATGGCTCAATGGTAAAGAGTCTGGACGCCATCCTGGCATGCCCCGCTGCCGCAGTGCGTATATTTCTGACCTCGCGAGATGTGTAGCATGTGGGCTTTCCATTGAGGTCGCTGTGCACTCGGCAAGCAAGCTCAGCGCGGCCGCACAAAGCGTGAAGACGCTAGCGTTGGCCTGGCGACGCCGGAGCATCACGCAGTGTGGTGGCAGGACTCAGCAGCGGAGACGCTTCGAGGGACGATTTTTACCGATGTAAAAAACGAAACGAGGTGACCTGCGTAGGCTGTGGATGTGGAGGAATGAACTAAAGACCAATGGCTGGTCACCGGCTTCATAAGGAAGTCTGATCAGCGCCAGAGGTGCTGGGCTCAAGCTGCGCCACGAGAGCGTATGCCAGCTGCGACATCTTAACGGGTGGCGATTCGGCCTAGTCGCGCTTCCGTCCGAAGCAATACAGAGAAGCTGATGTTATCAACTGTACGGATGCCAACATTCTGGCGACAAGTGTTCATGCGGCGGATGACGGGAGACGCGGCCGTGGTGGCAAACCGCTGCAAAATCGGGTAGCAGAGACGAAATCTCCAACGCCACTCCGCATCCTTTGGCTCAATGGGACTCAACAATCACTGGTAGCTAACGGCCGCTGGGTTCGTGCTGCTTTGCACACGTGATGTGGTCATCGCATTTCGTCTTGCAAGATCGCACGGTCTTCTGTCATGGCGGCCGATGCCACGAGAAGCACCTGAGGGTATGAGTGCCGTAGGTCTTGCGGATGGACGTGGATCTCATGGCTGTGTTCATCCCTTCCCTCGCGACACTTGCGGTGACTGACGCGCGAGTCTTGCTGTTGAATCCGCATGGTCGCGCCTTTTGCCTCGGCAAGACTTGTTGGGCGACACCAGTGCGTCGCACAAGCGCACTTTACATAACACAATCGCGAGTGGGGTTGTGGCGTGAGAGGGGGTGGGGCACTCTCAACGCTTGCTGTTGCGCCATGTCGAGCTGACAGTCCGTTCGCCTCGGCCGGGCTTTGACCGCGTCTTGCCACCTTGTGGCGCGTAGACTGTGTTTTTTCGAGCGTGGCAAAGGCGCCACGATCACTTGGTCTGTCGACTGAGCTCATGCCCTTGGTGCTCGAGCACCGCGAGATCATTGCTGAATCTGCACCTATGGCCAAACAGATTGCAGTGCATTCGTCATTTGCTCATTGCTGCACCAGCAGTGTCATCCAGAGGGTTTTCTAACGCGCCTTTGCCGAAGGACGCATTGAACTTGAGCAGAGTGTTGATGTCTCTAACCCAATCATCGTCTTCGCGCTCGCTGTGACTAGCTGAGCTGAGAGGTCGGTGCTCTTGCTGCGCTCTCCGAGCTCCATTGGACTCTGTTGCATCGTCCAGAAGCGTCGGCTCCTTTGAGCGCGCCGCGGCGTGCGGACCCAACGTGGCGCTGGACCTGTTGACGCAAGGTATTGGGTACGGCGACATGGCGACTTGCAAATACTCGCCCGGAGAAAGCACACCAAGGTCTTGGCCATCTACTGTGAGCTCAGCGGGCGAACGCGAGGTCTTCGATATCTGTAGGCAGAAACAAATGCGCGGATAGCCCAACATAGCACAACACAGCTGCTAAGCTTGCAGAGTAACGTCATGAGCACCTTCCACGGCGCAAGCTCACCTTTAATTGCACGGTGGAGTCACTCGGCAAGATCACCGAACGGAAGCTCAACGAGCGAGGGCAGATAGGCGTGAGCACCAGGCTTTGTGCTGATGGGTGTACAATGGGACCACCCGCTGATAGCGAATAAGCAGTGCTGCCGGTCGGGGTAGCAATGATAAGACCATCCGACTGTGGCCAAGCGGCGGTCCGTTAAGCGAAAATCAGCAACTCGGTGCAGCATTCGTCCAGAGACCCCATGAGTAAACCTACGATTGCTTGTGTCAAGTGTCGTCCGTCGACGAAGGCGTCGATCATCGTCAAGTGAGGTTCTCTACCTCTGTGTAGCGCCACTTCATTCATGAGGTGGACTGTCGTTTCAAATGTGCGATTCTAGCGCTTCAACACCGATGTGCATGAGTGCGTGGGGTTGACAAAAGAATCACGCACCTTGCTGCTTATGTGATCGTCTTGGAAGCTCTTGCCCATCGGGTCCATGCACGCTCATCTGCAGTCGCATCCGCAGCAAGAGCGAAGCCTTTCCCGAAATTAGCTCTTGCAGAGCGTGCTCGAACGCACCGATATCTGCGGAGTAGCGAGTGGGGTGCAAGTGTGAGGAGTGATCTTGGCAGCTAACGGAGACAGAGTGCGGTAAACATACGAAAAGGTAAAAGGAAGCCCAGTGTCCCCATTGAGAAGGAAAGCACGGGAGGCACAGGAGCGTCGTCAAAAAGCGATGATGCATGTAGTATGGTCCCATCCCCACCAAGAGTGACGATGAAATCAACCTTCCGAGCCAGCAAGGGCTTTTCGGCTGCGTAAGATGTCAATCAAGAGCATTGCGGCTGACCCTCGTGAAACGCTATTCGTGGAGGCTCACCAGGAGAAAAGGAGAGCAGCTTTGGGAAGCGATTTTGCATCTGGGCGAACACGTCTGCATCTTCAACTATCAAGTTGCTTTCTGGATGAAGAGCTTTCAAGTATCTTTGATGCGGTGGGCTGGGGACATCAGCAAGCACACTGAAAGGGCTTTATAAGCGGTGAGACCTACTGTGCTATCTTCGATGCAGCAGCATTGGCAGCTTGGTCTCCTCGTTTCACGACCAGTAAAACGTTGCGAGGCGAATGCATCCATTCCAGAGAATGATTGCCTCTTTCACAGCCAGAAAATGCAGCAATCAGCAGGCGAGCGATGTGGCCAACATCCTTTCCGATGCATTGACTTACCCAAAAGAGCTTCCCACCCGCGTAGTGATATGATCCGACGTTCTAGGCTCGAGGACCTTCGACAACCTATACGTCAGACTTCGTTAGAGACTATCAAGCTCATTTTTCTTTGCCTCTGGTAGAGACCTTGTTCTGCGTCTTGCTTACCTGCCAATCGGGCCGGTTCGTACCTGAACCTTGTCCGGCAACCTTTCCAGTCCATGCGCAGCTGTACTGCTCGACATCATTCGACACCCAGCGCCGTAGCATCGAGCTGCCATGAGGGAGTCGTGTCGCTGTTGTGAGGGCCTTTCGAGCCGCAAGTGACCTGCGCGGCGCCATGATCCCGGGGTCACTTGCGTCGCGGAGATCCTTCCAGCCGATTGGCCGCTCGCAAGTGTGCAGCTCTGGAAAGAGCCAAATGGCGTGCCAGTGCGGACACCTCTAGTGAGCCCCATGGCTTTGCAAAGCTGTCGAAGAGTATTCGGCTGCTGGGTCATTGCGATCTCAAACGATGTTGGAGTGCCAGCTTGTTGTAGAGACGGATCAAGTCGACGCCGTGAGGTAACGGAGGGAACCTTCTGAGCAAGTACCGATCGATGCCTTTTTCCAGGTCCACCGCAGGTGCCAGCGCTGCGATGATGTGGCTTGCACGAGTCTCTACAGTGAAAGCAGAGCTGCCGCAAGCGTGAGAGAGTCCAGAGCAGACGAAGTTAGATCGTCGTAGGCAAATGATGTTCGGCGAAGGATGTGCAGCATGAAGAGCAGAAGTCGCTTGTTCCACTCAGTCAGCGAGGATGCTGCTGGCCTTTGCGCGCGCACCTAATTACCGGTATGATTGTGGAGCGAGGTGCGCCCGGCCGCGCTGTGCTGTGCTGCTGAGCGCGCATGCACTTTCCACTTGGCGGCGCATGATGCACGCTGCTGCAGCAGAGGGTGAAGGGCCCTCCTCGCGCGATGTGCTGTGCTCACGATGCCAAATCATGCTTCCTTGCCTTCTTCAACCACCCCTTGGCTTTGCCAAGTGCTTTTCAACAACGAAGCTCGATCACAGCTGACACAACGTCGACGTTTGGCTTCACCGAAGTTCGGACAAGACCGCTCGCCCCGTGAAACAGGACACACCGGAGCATACAGCTCTCTCCCCTGCTCCTCAATCAGCTACCATCGCGCTTCCAGCATGGAGGTCGACAGGCCATCTGCAGCTGCTGGTGGGGCGTCCAGCCAGCCTCGTTTTGTAGTCAAAAAGGTGAGCTCCTACTGCTGAAGCTGCTGAGGCGGCCGCGGCTCATTCCTTCGTTTCTCCCTTCCCTTACCTCTGCAGTGGAACGCAGTCTGCCTCTGGTCATGGGACATAGTCGTAGACAACGTGGGTGTCGAACTCGTCAGCAATCGCGTCTTCTCTTCAATTGACTGACATACTCTTGATCGTCTGATTAGTGCGCTATCTGCCGCAACCACATCATGGACCTTTGCATCGAATGCCAGGCAAACCAGGGAAGCGCCACGACTGAGGAGTGCACAGTGGCTTGGGGACAGTGTAACGTGAGTTCTGCTCTTTCGCAGGCTAGCTCACATTTGGGACCGCTCGAGTATGGACACGCGACCCACGTTGGAGGGAAATGGAAATTTGCGAACTGCATTGCGCGTGCTGCTTGCGGAGGTGGCATTGCTCTTAGGCTAGGCTACAATAAGAGAGCAACATGTCCAAGGGGGGCGAAGTGGTGGGCTTCGATGGGCCTGTCGCTGGTATGCTGCTGATGCTGCTGATTTGGTCTTATCTTTACTTGCGAGCATACTTGCTGCTGCTGATGCTGCTTGAAGCCTCGCTGGGTGGCCATACCCGGACAAAGACTAAAGCTGACGAATTGCTGCGCTCGCCATCTCGTAGCACGCTTTCCACTTCCACTGCATTTCGCGCTGGCTCAAGACTCGTCAAGTCTGCCCTCTAGACAATCGAGAGTGGGAGCTTCAGAAGTGAGTACAAGATCTTCGCGTTTGGTACACTGCGTGAGCCTGGTTGCGCGTGATGATTTCGCTAATTCTTATCACTTGTTCAGGTACGGACGCTGAAAAGTCCACCTCTGGAGCTCTGCTCCTCGCACAACAGTCCGCGCGAGCTTGCAGCTGTTCGAGCCACAACCAACAGCAAGACACAGCTCGCCTCCTCCGATTCGCCCGCAATCACGTTCATGTACAACACGCCAACGACGAAGAAACAGAAAACATTGCCAAGTATGATACGTACCTTGACACTTCCACAGAGTTCAACAGCTTTGCCAGCCCGCCAGGTAAGCGAAGGAAGATTGGAAGAACAAGGTTTGGAAGAACAAGGTTTACAAGAACAAGTGTGGTTGGAACGAAGTCGCTCGGCATGATTACCAACCCTGACCGGCTTTGACGTAATCGCCAAGGCCAGGCTTAAGCTTGGGTTTGGTGCCGGTTTCATATTGATACAAGTGGTACTTCCTCCACATCTCGTCTTGCGACTGCTGCACCTTCTTTATATCTTCGTTCTGGTGGTGGACAAGGAAACCGACTCCTGTCAATAAGCCTGCGGTAGCGCCCCTGTTTATTCGACGAGGCTAGCAATGGTCAGCTACATGCACAATTTCGGGATTGAGGTGCAGAGTCAACTCACACTCCGAGACCCCACTTGCTAAACTTTTTGAATTTGCTCAGGACAGAGCTCTTGGGCTTCTCTGCGGTAAGCAAACTGGCTTCTTGCACCGCCGCATGATGACGGAGCATGCCGGAATGCTTCGAGAAGGAGGGCGTCTTTGCCAGAGTTCTGCCCGGCTCGGTCAGCGATGGGCTTTTCTCGAGCGTTTCAGGAAGTGCCGGTCTGATCTGCGACGTCTTGGGCAGCGTTGGCTCGTAGAACGAAGGACCTTTTTGCAGCGCTTCCGGGGTCGCGGGTACGATTTGCTTGGTCGGAAGCTCGTGCTGCGCTGTCGTCGATGGCTTGCCGAGGTCCGAGAAAGTCAGCTCAGACACCCTACCATTGCTCGTTCCGACTGGCAATGAAGAGTCCGTCACACCTCGAGCGAAGACGGCTTGGTTCGTCCCCAGGGTCATTAGACCGCGCGACTGCAGGAGCGCTGATGCATCATCGCTCTGCTGCGAGCCTTGCGAGAAGATTGGGCGAGCTTCTCTGCCCTGGGCCAGTGCAAGCCAAATGAAAGCTGCGGAGCTCGCTTGCGTTAGCTTCATGCTGTCGATTTTGACGAAGAGGACTAGGAACGGATGTCGTCGTACCCAGAAGTTCTTCCGAGGCGTAGACTGTGCAGAAAGATTTGAGACTTCAAAGAATTCTGAGTGGTGCGAATGAGACGGGCGATTTTCGCGACGTGCCTGGGTCAGTGATGGTAAGAGTCTGCGGATTTGACGGGGTCATCGAACCTCAGTGACGTGTCCTCTTGTGGAGACCAGCTCCGAAGGGGTGTTAATGCGAGAGAACTGCGATGTGAAGGCCAGCTTCGCGGGGATCAAAATGCGAAAGGCGAAGGGAGCCGTACACAGTGTCATGGCCTTTTAAGCTGAACGGTACGTCATACGCCCTACATTGATACGTTTGTCTCTGAGGCAGCGTGCACACTATCAGCACCCGTCTGCTTGTCTCGTGGCTCGAGGCGCTTTGATAAGCTTCTTGCGAGAGCTTCCTCCCTCACCTCCCTGCTCCTCGTCCCCAGAGCATCTTGTTCGGATCAACTGCGACGTGCGTACAATACGTCAAACCAATGGCGCACCGCTTCTCTCCACATAAAGATCGCTTGGCGTTGGCGCTCATTTTGCCGGCTTGCGAGCCAAGGCGTCCGTAGGGAATCTGACAGCCCACTGCGCCCAACCTCATTCGCCTTTCATCTATCAGACCGCAGTGTTGGAAAGCTTAGGTGACACGACAGCACGGAAGACGAAAGGCGCACTTCATATCGGATCTGCACTGCGACTGATCGTCGTTGACGCGCGCACTTGATTGCGACCGTATAGCCGCGGCCGACTGTCCTCTATAGCTGTCACCGCGGATCCATCGTTGGGTCGATCAAAGTCACGATCGAGTGAAGGCGCAAGGCAAAGAAAAAGCCCAAAAAGCTTAGCATCATCAGATTGCGACTGCACTGTAGGCACTTGCAAGGCTGAGTCGCATCGCATCCCTGTGGGTGAGCTTTGCAAAGAATGAGCCGCGCTGAATGAGCGCGAACGGCAGCGCGGCTCTCGGCGTTGGGCACTCGGCGTTGGCGCAACGGCGGGGCGTTACGAATTTCCAAGCGGTGAGTGTTGGGTGATGGGAGGAAGGAAGAGGATGTTGTGATGCTGTCGCGGTGTGCCTAATGAGCTACGGTGTAGCAATCACGTGAATATACACTCGTGACTCGACACCTCTGAGGAGCGTTTGCAAGACTTGATGAGGATGGATTGATGCAGTCACAGTCAAAGTGCGAGTTGATTTGTGATTTGTATGCCAGGATTCAAGATTGCGTGCTGTTGTATCATGTACCGGTGTACCCTGAGCCTATACAGAGTCAGTCGATCACGACTCACGACAGTAGGTATATGCTGGGCGCGATGTGGGTGGAGCGCGCGAGATCGCGACGGGGCTCCGTGCAGTCGCGAGTCACACACTCGCGCGCACGCGTGGTACATGCCGGCGGAGCTCACAGCCGATCGATCAATGGTGAATTCAGTTGTGGCGGTTGGAGGAGGCCTGCTGCTGCTGCCTAGCGCAGGAGTCAGAATTCGTTAGTGTGAGTGCGAGTCAGAGTGTTGATTGCCGCTTTTGGATGCTGCTGCTGCTGTCTATCGCGTATTCTTCGAATACCATGTCGGCACGAATGCCGATCCCTCTACCCCTTCACATGTCAAGCCCCTCGCCAACCGCAGCACGGATCGAACAGATCGAGCAGGGAGTACGGGTAAGCGCATACACCTGCATCTTGTAGAGGGCGGGCAGTCGTCACAGCACTCTGTAACGCCATAGGTGGTGCCCTGCTCAAGAAGATACCTGATGGTCCATCATGGAGACGCAAGCCGGCGACGAATGGCTGGTAGCCTATGCCACCTACATTCGAAGCAACGCAGTCGCCTTGGCCGGACAGTCGAGCTCGCAACAAGTCCGAGCCAGCACCACCAACAGCGCAACATCTTCCAGTCCCTCCACCTTGTCCTGGTTGACGCTGCCATCGGCTTCTTGGGTTGGCCTGCAATCGGCCAGCAATGCGCCCGAAGCTCGACAAAGAACCGCCTCGACCGCCTCTCGAAATCCTGCCTCATCTGACTTGCAGGCTTCGCGACTACGTCCTAATCCACAACCGAGTCCAAAAGCGCTGCCTTTGAACACGCATCATCTGTACTACCTTTTGCTACGCTTCGAGGCGTTGGGTCTTCCGGTTGGATCTTTGGACGTGAGGATACCTCGATCTGCTAGGCCTGTCAGCTCTTTCAGCTATGTATCGGCTCATGCTCAGCGAGGTGGCAGAAAGCCTAGGGATACCGACGCGATGAGCGTGGGCAGCGTCAGGAGTGCATTGACGGCGCTCAGCGGAGCCAGCACCTTGACTGGTTGGTGGTCGGGCAGCAGCGAAAAAGGTGATCCCTTGAAGGACGTCAAATTCATCTACTCTGCGTTCACGAGTGAGTGTGCGCCCTGCGCGCCATATACTTAACAGCTGGCCTTTGCCAGCATATGGTGTGACATCTCCACCCCTGCTTGGATTCATACTGACGAGTGTTGCCCTGATCCTTCAGAGGTGCCGAGGTTGCGGCTGGGGCCGCTCCCACTCAAGCTGATCGAGTCGTTCGAAGACTCTCCCGGCAGCTCTTTGGTGCCCCTAGACGTGTTCAAAAACATTCAAACCCTGGAATTAGACGAGATCGACCCTAGCAGCCTACTCGGGTGGGACAGGCTAAGCATCCAACTTCGCAGCTTAACGCTAAAAAATTCTGGGCTGGAAGATGTGACGGATTTACTGGTGGATGCGGTCAAGTTGGACGTGAGAAGACGCAAGGGGGAGCAGGTGAAACCTGCGCAGCGTCGCATACACTCTCCTGCCGCAGTAGATCAGCCACCATGGACGGACACGCGACAGCAGCCAGGAGACTCGCCACCCTCTACCGCGAGTTTGGATGGTCTCTCATCAGTTGATGATGCTCATGCATCTGGGCAAGCTGCTCTTCCTTTCTTGTCCTGGCACTTCTTGCGACATCTCGCTCTGCCGGATAACTCCCTGACTTTCTTCTCCCCGCCTGCAGACCTGCTCTCAAATCTCACATCATTGGATCTCTCGTCCAATCTGCTCATCTCGGTACCCCCCTCATTGAACCTGCTTCCGAACCTAAAGCTGCTCAATCTCGAGGGCAACCTGATCGAGACCCTCTGGCACATCTCTTTGGCGATACCCAACATCGAAGCTCTTAATCTTGCCAACAACAGATTGGAGAGTCTTGCGGGAGCTGAGGACCTCAAAAAGCTGCGGCGAATCGATTTGCGCGGCACAGAGCTAGCGGAGGCGAGCGAGGTGGGACGACTTGCGGTCCTGCAAAACCTCAAAGAAATTTACACCAAGGGTTCTCTGTTCATGGAAGACGCTGATCCGCGCGTGGATGTGTTTGTCGAATTTGCGCGAGAGGGAAGGGAGATTGCTCGGATCCTACTGGACGGTGAGGCACCTGGCTACTTTGAGAAACAGCGCGTGGCGGAGAGAGTACCTGCCATGCTAGCTCGCATAGGCCGCGAGTCTACGCCAGCTGCGGAGGAGCTCAGCGTCGAGGAGGCACCAGTACGCCTGGAAAGCCAACAGGCTGAGCCACCTGTAGTATCTGTGCGACATCGCGTAAAGGATGCGAGCACCACATCTGCCCTAGCTAAAGTCAAAAGCGCTGACGGGCACCGCTCCACCTCTCCCGCACCCGGCGCGACGGCCAAGCGGAGGGCAAGGAGAATAGTAGAGCTCGACCAGGAAGAGGAAGTTGCGCCGCTGACAGCAGCGGCACTGCCCACTCCTAAACCCCAAGAGATCTCTGACTCTGATCTAGTCAAGAGGGCAGCGTTGGCTGGCAACCTCGACGTTGCCCTTGGCGAAGCGCAAAAGGCGAATGCCATTCCTAGCCCAAAAGGCAAAGCTAGACAGCTGGACGATGTGCCAAATGATTTGCCTGCCGCAAGACTACAGGCGCGCACAAATAGCAATGACGGACCGCGCGCAAGGCCTCAATCGTTCCTTGCGCCTGGTCCTGCGAGTCTTTCTCGCAAGACTGGTGCTGCCGCCGCATTGCTGTCTCGCGAGACGAGCGGAGACGTGGATGGTGCCGGTCGACCTCGCGTGCTGAGCTCCGCCTCCACACTGGGTGCAGCTAGCGCTTCATCATCGCGATACGCGGTTCTGCCAAGCAGGTCACAGACGCTACAAGATCTCGCAGGCATTTCGACCCAGGGTCTAGCATCGAGAGTAGCTGGGCGATCCGTGGACGACACTGCCATAATTAGCGATGCTTCTTCGCTCAATGCCGATAGAATCGTGAAGACTGCGCGCACAAGAGCTGGCAGACGCTTCGACGCCGCGTCTTTGACAGCTCGACGCAAAACGGTCACTGCAAGTCTTTACGACGCCAGTACGACTTCTTTGAGCATGCCAGAGCCGAGCGGAACGTCGCTTGAAGCAAGGTTTGATAATGCGCCTGCTTCCACAGGTCGCGTTTTGCAAAGCCAGTCAAAGAGCGCAGGTCAGACTGGCAAGGATGATTTTAGAAAACGTATCGAGGCTATGCGAGATGGCATGGGCGACGAGTGGCTCAGAGCTCTTGCGCGAGGGTCGGTCTATCTAGACGAGAGCAGCGAGGGCTGATTCTAGCGCCGGTGCCACGAGCTTATCAGTCACGATTTCATGTCGTCATCTAGACTCAAAAGCTACTTTTTTTTTTGCGCATAATGATACATTTCTACTTTGATGGGGGGGCGCGAGGCTACATGGTCATGGTCTGTTCTGTAAGAGTGGTGTTGCGTGCTGAAGAATTCTATTTATGAGCAGCGCTCAGATTCAAGAGGCGGCGAGTTCTGCAGCCAGCTTTGAAGGTCTGTTCTCCGTCGAGGGTGTCGTGCCGGGTGGGGTGAAGCCGTTGGGCGGGCTGGCCAAAGGCGAGGGATCCAGACTATTGCCTGGCATGACGAACGGCGCTCTGTGAAAATTGTCCGCCGGACTAGCAGGTCTAGAAGGAGGTGTCCAAGGTGGCGGGACCGCACCTTCTTCGGGATCAGAAGGCATTCCAGGCGCAGTGGGAACACCTTCCAAAAGTCTAGCTTCCGCCTCTGCCAATTCCGCCGTCGTCCTGCCGCAATTGCAAGTGTTGTGGCTGGACGAAGTGCGGGGAGGTAGACCGGAAGAAGCCCAGGGATAGGAGGCGGGCAAGGATCTGGGAGTGGTGGTACCCGACGAAGGCGCAGTGGAGGTGGAAGCGTACGTAGGGTGCGCATTGGCATGGACGTTGTGCTGAGACTGTCCAGAAGAAGAAGCTGCTGCGTAATTCTGGGATGGCGCTGCTTGATGAGCGGGTGTGAAACCTTGCAACAATCCCGCTCTCCCACGAGATCTGTGCGCGCCATGGTCGTGATTGGCCTGAGCGGTGTTCTGCGGAGAGTTCAAGCCACTGGCATTTACATCGCCCGAAGATCGTCTCTCAGGACTGCTGTTGCGCGACCTGCGTCCATGACCGTGCAAGAAGTTGCTGAAACTGCTCTGCCGCGAGTAGACCGGACGTGTGGGTGAGGCGTCTCGCGACGAGGGTCTCGAAGAGGGCGCTGAGCGGTACGAGCCCAAAGATGAGCCGTGATGAGGGCCCATGGCGTTTGGCAGAGCTGCTCGGAGAGTCTGAGCAAGTCTTCGATGTTCGTGGTCTGTATGATGTTCTCCATGCTGCGATGCGGCTGCCGAATTGGAGTTTGCACTGGCCCGCGGAGGAGGCAAGTGCCCGTTGACCGGTGACCCAGCAGCAAAACTCAGCGTAGGGCTAACGGGTCTGCTCCCGACTGGGCTCTCTAGCGAGTAAGGCGGCAAGTGGATCGTGTCGAAAGTGCAGCAACAGCTGGGCACAATGGTCGCTCTACGCATGCTAAACACCTGCACTTTGGGTTTGCCCAAAGATTCGCTATTTTCGCGATCGTCGATGACGCTGAGCCGCGAGAAGTAGACTTCGCAACCCAGATCGTGGGACACGCGAATTTCAGCTCGGGAGCCCTTGACAGTGGATGGGCGAATCGTGTTGTCATCGGGCAGGCGAATCACCGACTTGACGCGATACCCGCTGCCCGCGTGATCCTGGAGGAAGGATGCCTGGTTGGCAGGTACGGTTGGAGACCCCGATTTGCCAATATGTCCAGGCCCACCTTCCGAGTCCGAGATCCAAAATGCATCTTCCGGCGTGACGGAAGCGTCGATCTGTTTCGCCTTGTACGGCATGTACCCGCGCTCCCACAATCTAAACTTTTCCGTAGGTATCTTGACCCATCCCTTTCTGACCTCTGAAAATACCTCCACATTCTGTTCCAAAAAGACCCGAATGACGTGCACGCTGAGACCCGGCGGAGGGTCGGGATGGTAGACGCTGAGATTCGCCGTGCCTCCGACTGTGAGACTTGCAGACGTTAGCGAGATGCTCATGGCACCCAGCGCTTCGTGCACATCATGGTATTGCACATCCAGCGCAGTGGGTCCACCATCCGTAGAGACGTGGAGCATAACAAACACTTCGCGAGAGGCGATGATCGCGCTTCTTCCACGACCTGCACCAAAGGCGGTCGCGGTGATCATGTACCTCACTCTGCCGTTGCGATGCCTCTCGAATGGAGGAGAAGTGGAAGGGATGATGAAAGAGAACTCAAAGCTGGGGGCCAGGCACAGGTAGCAATTCTCGAAACGTGGTCAGCGCTTAGCGACGGCTCGTGACCGCCTTGAGATGTCTCGCTCGGCTCGATCACTCACCCGTGCACTCCCTTATCTAGATGTATGCCATCCTCAGCGGCGGCAGCTTCCGTGGACGTAGGCCCAGCTGCTCCACCCTGCTGGTACTGCATCGCGGCGCTCTCGCTATGTTCCACGCTCGGACTAGAAGCGCCCGAGCCCGAGCCCGTTCCAGAGGCAGCGGCATGACCCGCGCCAAAGCTCAACTTGTGCGCTCTCTTTCGATGGTGGTGATGCTGCAAGCCACCGCTACCATCCGAGGTGATCTCCACAACCTTTTCCATCAACGTCTTTTCCTCGTACCTCGTTGTGTTGATGGTAGTGCCCAAAGAAGTGGTCAACGTTTCGGGAATGGCCAAAGTCTGCTGAGATTGCAGCGTCACTTTGAGCTTGTCAATCGTCCGTTCCGACTGGCCGCGCAGCAGCAGCGAGCGCGGGCGTGATGTGGTGTGGTCAAGTCAGCTATGCGGCCGAACGCGCTCTGCACATTTGCTTGGCGCGCAAGCTGCCACTCACTGGGCATCTGAGCTCCACCACGCCATTCAGAGTCTTGTCATCTCCCGGTATGTCGCCTGCTGAAGGCGGTGGTGGGTGGATAAAGATGTCTTCGCTGACCAAGTGCAAGCTGAGATCGCATGGTGCGCGCACCAACGAGTTGATCATCGCAGGACGCTCGCCTCGTAGAGAAAGCGAGTCTGCTATCGATCTCCGCACAGACGTCGGTGCTGCTTGGGGCGGAGACTGCTGACCAGAGGAGTGAGGTGAAAGGCACTGCAAAAGAGGGATAGCTTGATCGCCGGTCCTTGATTGGCGTGGCAAATTGCAGAGCTGAGAAGGCAGCAGAAATGGGGGACCACTGCTCTTGAAATGCGAACCCAGTCCCACGTCGAGCCGATCAAGATGTTGCCCAGCGCAAGGTAGGGATCAGTCGTCGCAGAGTGGGAGTGGGAGTGCGTGTCAGTACAGTATGTTGTTGACCGCGATGCAGCCGAGTGCCTTACATCCGCTTTTCGCTGGTAGAGCGAGATGCGAGTGGAGGAGTGAAGCAGGCCTGACCAGGTATGTGCGACGGATGACCAAGCTGGCGCATTAAAAGATTAGAGAACGCAGAGGTTCGCTTCGAGTGATCGCGGCCGAGCTGGGAGTAGGGAAGGAGCAGCAGCAGCAATCGAGTCGGACTTGATCGGCGTTGCGGGCACAGCGATCGCAATAATGAATTCAATTTCCTTTCTTTTTAGGTTGAATCTGACCGCCTCATTGGTCACTGCGCCCCCGCGTGCTGGCCGACGGCGACATTGGCGATTGTGGTGATTCGAAATGTTCTGTACTGGAGACTAAGCAGCATTCTGATTCGGTTTGACTTGCGTGCGCTCGGTGGTGCGTTTTGAGTGTTCAGTCAGCAATCAGCATATACAGTATAAGCCATGGCAGCCATGCAGCTGCAATCCGAGCAATCAAGGACAAGGCACGCGATGTGGCTTGAGGTCAGGTCAGACAAGGAGCTTGTGGACGCGCGCGTGTACAGCTAGACCGCGTTGAGCGCTCGCTGCGCGTCGAGACATCGAGCACTCAGCACGACTGTCACGCACGCACGCATATAATAATAGCTTTCAATCTCGTCTTCTTACCCAATTGTCCAAGGTTCGCGAAGGCTGATCGAAGCACCGAACTTCTTTTAAAAGCATCCAACTTGTCTGGCAGCACTTTGAATCGCAATCACGAATTAATTGTACAATTCACGAATGTTGGCCCTGGCCTGCATGCCTGCTGCGCGCGGTGCTGAACAGCCTAGCTGAAGCTCGGCGGCGCTTGTTCTGCGCGGAGCTGCGTCGGCGAATTCGCTTTGCTGCAGATCGTCATCGCGTGCAGCGAGATTCTTTGCAGCGCGTTTCAGCAAGACGCGCGGCAGAAAAAGCCGAAGAGAAAAAGACCTTCAATTGTGATTGCTGGCTGATGCATGGCTGCGAAGGAGCGCCGCACGCGCGTTGGCGTGATCAGCGCGCCATGCACAAGACCCACTCGACGCAGCAGAAGCGTCGGCGTATCATCGATCAATCACTGAATCACAGACGCTCCCCGAGGCTTTGTAGCTTCCTTTCAGCCATAGCGATCAGGAGCCGCGCTTCAAGATCAATCACGAATCGACAGCATGCGAGCAAAGAAAAGCTCATGACATGACACGAGGCAAGGCTCCACATCGAGTCAGTCACGCGTGCTGCCTGCCGCCCTGCTGAGCTCCGCACTGCCACAGCCCTACAAACGCACGCACCTGCACGCCGGACTGCATGACAACTTGCATCAGCAGGCCTTCACAGTTCGTCCGGTCCACACGCCACGACATCGCGCTGACGCGCATCATCGGTCAAGCGTCGGTCTCTCGGTCTGCTCCTTATACTCTCACTCTGTAATTACGACTTTCGAAAACATATTCTCAGATCAGTCAAGCCAGCCCGCGGGCTTCGCCGTGCCTGCATCCTCGTGCCTAAACCGCGATTGAGTCTTCTTCCGTTCGCGGCTTGGCAGCACATATCTTCGCCCTCGTCGGCCGTCGAGCGCCGCTTCAAGTCGAAAGTCGAACGATCACGTGAGCCATCTCGTTGCGGCATGCCTTTCTCGCTTATCCAGTCAATAGCCTGGCCAAACCAGTTCTTGACTGATCGAGCAAACCCATCTCTGCCTTCCCTGCCGAGCACTTCACGCCAAGGAAGCATTCAAGTGACACGCTTTGATGCACCGACTCGCTAGGAGCATCTGGAAAACGTGTGACATTACAAAGCCCCTCAGAGCACTTTGAACCTCCCCATCAGATGACATCTAGACTTCCCACCTCCACCTCGAGCTTCCAGCTACTGCATGATGTGTACCTCTCCCTACACCGCCTCCAAGCCAGTGTACTCGCTCTGCACCGGCGGTTCGATGAATGCCGCGTGTCCCAAGACCAGTATAGCGCTGCTCCCCACCAACCAGAAGAAGAGGGCAAAAGGTGACGCGATCCAAAGCAAGGGCAAGCCTGTGGGTAGATGGGATTGAGTTTGAGCATCCTTAGTGCTCATTCGAGCATGCAAACAGATGCTGAAAAGCGCTTACGCTACTCACCGATGACGAAAAGCGCAGTGTAGAGACCTCTTTGAGTGATGACGTGGTCGCCCACCTGCATGGGCTCCGGTGCTTTGGGGCGCCAAGGCAGCAGGATGTAGGCATCATATCAGCTGCTGGAGTTCAGTCCTCCTAGAATGGCCTCAGACTCCTGGTCTGGGCACTCACCAAATCGATTGATCAAGACGAAACCTCCGACCAGAAAGCCAACAGCAATGAGAAGAAGAGGAGAGGTGATGCTGACGATTCCGCGGGGATTCCCAAGAGTCAGCCCGATGTCTTGTGTATTCGGAACAGGCATTGTAGCGAGAAGAAGGAACAACGCGATCCAGATAAGACCGCACACCAAGAGGTCTCCCTCCTTCTAAGCCCGCTCAGTCCTGCACACTTTGCCGCACTGTCCGTGGGCCAAGCCTTTTCCCCATCCTCATCCAGGAAAGCAAGACCCACTAAGCCAGTGGTCAACAACCAGCCAACGTCCTTTTCGCCCCAAAATTCCTCTCCCGGGTGAGCCCTGCTTCCCATCGAACCCTAGAGCCTCAAAAAGCTTACGCACAGACCATAGACTGTCAGGATGCCCACGACTACTGCATAGTTTCCAGAGAAATGCCTCGTGTTGTAAGTGATCCGCTGCGGAACGAGGCGGAAAGAAGCGTCAGCGAGAACATCGACAAGCGTGTTCCATATAATGCGCAGCTTGGGAGCGGCGTGCCATGAGAACTTCCCCCCCC